TCCATGCTGTAAATTTAAGTTTATCCTCGCTCTACAGAGTAGTACCTCAAGCTCGGCAAAAGACTTGAAAGCAAGGGAGTTATTAACGATCAAACAGTGTGCACATCTTTTTGGGACACTCTGTATATCTAAGATGGCATTACCAGAGTTGAGAAAGAGGTCAGGCACAAGTCTTTCGAAACTCCCCCCCCCCTCCCATGAAAGCCCTCAAACGACCCCTTCTTCCTCCTCTTAACCTCTGGACCTCAAAGTGTGACATTCTAGAGGACACCATCTTTTTCTAGAGAGTTTTCAGATTTCTGAGAACTGTACGCCCGATTTTCTGTGACTGCACTTTACAATCACACGTAATTTGACGGCTGATTTTGATCTGAATGAGCATATTGAAAGAGCCATAATTTTCTTATGGGTGGGGCGTTCGGTTCCAAATTTCCAATGTAGCAAGAAGAAGCGTGCTCAATACTCATACCAGCAATGGAGCGCTTTCTGGATTTTGAAGGCAAGTTAATGGGGTGCGGCACGTGTGCCGCACCCCATTAACTATATCAAAAAACATTTTTAGCGGACAGTATTTATATGAATCGATAGCCTAAGCCTTGTAGATTCCATAGGACTGTTTAGAGCCTGATTTGTCTTCTTCTTTAAGTAATATTTGGTGAAAGCAAGCGATCAAAAGCGAAAAATGGGAAAAACGAGATTTTGGTTGGCTTCTAATTCCACAGTTTGCAGTCTTCTGAAGCGGGATTCCTGAGGTGGACAAAGAAGGAGTAGTGCTTTGTCTTGAGTGCAAAAATGGATAGCTAATTCACCTTTGAAACAAAGTTAACCATGTTGGAATTTGACCATTTCATTTAGGTATCCTAGTATCTTGAATCTTCAGAATTCGCTCACACTTTGTCTACAGGGGTTAACTGACATGCTAATTATGGATATGATACGAATATCATGTTATCACTATTATCAGATTACCCGACTACGACCCCCTCCCCTTTTGACTCCTCAATACGACCCCCAAGTGTGGAACGCCCGTAAAAGGGCTCGGAACTGGGAGGAGTTGCAGGTGCGCTCCATCGTCATTTCGATTAGAGCACCATTTTTTCAACTGGAGCGCACTATCTCCAAACACTTGGTTTCACGCCGGATGTTGATGTCTTATTGCAATGCGCAGCTCTTACTAAAGTCATGAGGGAAAATGAGATGACATTGCTGTTTCGCGGTGATAGAGAGGAAGTTGCTAACAATGTAATCTGTCATCACATGAAGCGCTAATGGGCATCGAGTTCTTTATATAGTATCTTTTTCTGGTTGTTTACACGAAAATGTATTCGCAGATCTCTATATGTGGTGTTAGCATCTTGTAGAGATCGTAGATGCTGTTCTCTCGATTGCCTTTTCGATGGAGCTAGGTGATTCGTTCACCATTAGCGAATTCTACTGATGAACATCAAAGGTAATGTGCAAACCATACAAGGTATTGATTGATAAGTGGAAGAAGGAAATCACACAACTTAGAAATTTACTTGAATATGGTTGCACCCTGTGCAGAAATTGTGAACAGAAACGAGTTCTTTGCTGCTCTTAAAGCACAAAATCATTCTGATCTTTTTTGATAACGTTGCTTTCATAGAGTGCTAAGCACCACATAACAATTTTCCCTGGATGCGTCTCGCACACAAGTCTAGAAGTGAGTACGGTAACATACTTTCGTCGAAGGAAATACTAGGTAACCCTTTCATTGGGCGCTATTCGGCTATCCGGGCCCCAAAAATTTTTCGTCATGGATTTTGCTAAAACTTAGACCAGGGGAGTTATTCAGGCCGCTGATCACAGATATCGTACTGAATTTGCACGGTAGCGTCATTTTCCGGGGTTACGGAGGGTATAAGGTAAGGGGACAAAATCAAGGGTTTCGCTCAGAATCGGTGTAAGGGGGGGGGGGAGGGGGGTATTCGACCCGCTGATGCCGGATATCATACTGGTATTGTACGGTAGCGCCATTTTCTGGGGTTATTACGGTGGGTATACGGTGGGGGTGGGGTCAAAACCTGGATTTGCATGAAACTTGGCCCAGGGGGGTAATTTGACATGCTGAACACGAGTATCTTGTTTTTACCTCACGAAGACGCTTTCCTGTGTGGATATGATAGCTATACGGTAGGGCGTACGATACGCGGTAAAGTATTGTCTCCTGTGTTTGCTTAGGAAAGCCGCCGCAGAGTGTCTCGCGCAGCGATGGTCCTGTAAGAAAGGCATGACGGTAGGGCGAGTCGGTCTACACCCAACACCAAAGGCTGCGTTCACGCTGATTACGTAATCCGGAAACAGTCCCAGCACAACGCTCACTTTGAGCGCTGTGCTGGAACTGTTCGGGATCAGTATGAACGCAGCCAAATGCAAAGTTCCATTCAAATTTGCCATTTTTTGGCAACTACGGTAAACCCTCAGTAATTTCATAAAAAGGCCTCATCGTGCGAAAAGAGTATGATTTTCGTGATTAGCATATCAAATAGCCTTCCTAAGCCAAATTTCAGTGCAATCTATGATTTTGACTCCCTACCGTATACCCATTGTAGCCCCAGAAAATGACGCTACCGTACGAAATAAATATGATATTCGGCATCAGCAGGTCGAAATAACCACCCTAGGTCAATTTTCTGCAAATCCGTAATTTTGGCCCCCCTACCGTGTATCCACCGTAGTCGCACAGGGAGGCGTCCTCCCGCGAAAAAAACGTGTTCGTGATCAGCATGCAAGGTACCCCCCCCCCCTGAGCCAAGTTTTAGCGAAATCCATGGCGAAAATTTTTTGGGGCCCGGACAGCCGAATGGCGTCGCTGGACAAGTATAGCTCCACATACAGAGCAGCCATACATAAGAATTTCACGAAAGCAATTCTTCGAGTAAGTGCAGGACATATCCAATGTCAGCATAATCATAATAAGTATGGAAACGAACAATAAAATGAAACGTAATACATTGGAATCACTTGTTTTTATGGAGTTCAAACTAAAAGTTCAAAACTGTGTGTGGGACAATCGATCATACCAAAAAAAGCATTAGCTGTTCAGCATAACGTTTTTAGCTCTTCGGCATAACGTTTTACAGACGACTTTCATAGAGATGTTAAGTGTGTACTTTACCCATAACCATATATAGAAATGGCGTCACTGCGAAGTGTTGGAGGATGATGTTGAAAGAGGAAGCAATCGTAACAGCGACTAATCACACTGGTGTGACTAGTTGCGTTACATACTTCAACAACTTCCTCTAGTTTACCGGATAACATGTAGCCATCTCTTCCTCAATCAATCTCACGACTTGTATATACTAGCAGCCGTGCAACAGTCATACATCAGCAACCTTTCATGACTGACACTTCTTTTTAGATGCACAAGTATTTAGAGATAGTGCGCTCCAGTTGAAAAAATGGCGCTCTAATCGAAATGACGATGGAGCGCACCTGCAACTCCTCCCAGTTCCGAGCCCTTTTACGGGCGTTCCCAAGTGTGGCGTGCCGCACCCCACGCTTGACCCTGCTCATATTACATCGTGTACCTCATTTCTCAACCGAGACCTATTCTGTGCGAGTTTCCTCATTGCTTTGCGCTGCAATGCAGATATCAGCACTCAAAGGTTTTGTGACAAAAGATTTTGCACTGTGTTTTTCTAAGCAATCTAACTCACTACACTTACTTCGCTTATGTTTTCGCTTAGGGTACGGCCATAGGTTGCCGGCAACTGTTGTCTTTGTTGTCCGTTTTGTAGCTGCTAAGTTTTGTTTTGCAATTTGCAGGAGATTGTTTGCAGTTAATTTGAAATAAATGTCTTGTCTCTTCATTCTTTCTTCTATCTTCTATCCACAAACGCTAGGGGTGAGAGAGAGGGGGTAAAGAACGGGGTTGAGGGTCGCGCTGAAGTCCTACCCGGGGGGGGGGGGGGGTACTCGGCTAATTTGGGTGGGGTTTGAAGACAAAATTGGGGTTTGGAGCTTAATTAGGGCTAGTTACAGTATGCCCCGGCAGCCTTCCGCAGCACAAAATGGCAGGGCTCCGGAGCACAAATGTGAGGTCTCCGGAGCACAAAGGGAGGGCTCCGGAGCACAAGTGGCAATCTCCAGCTGGGGAAACCCCGCGGCTCGGCCACTTCTGCTCCGGAGGTATGCCGTCGACTGTCTGAGTTACGCTCTACCCATCCATATACGTTTTACCCCGATTTTCATCATCTTTTAAAAATTTAGATTGAAGCATGATTTTTTAAATTTTATTGCGCCGGAAAAACGCAATTTTCCAAGTTTTTTGCTTTCTTATCTGGAAATAGAAAGGAAGCTCATATATCTGATACACCATTTCAAAGAGGAGCTTTTTCAAATGGTATGTCTTGAAAGACTTTATGAGTTTATGGTATAGCAGCACAAGATCGAGAGATGTACAAAAACCCTGTTCGAGTTCTTTTGGCGCCACATGTGATTTTGGGAGGGGATCGTTAACCGTTACCAGAATAATACACGAGCGCTTATGTAACCGACGTCGTTAGAGCCCCTTTTCGCCGTTTTCACGCTCTCCAGTGCAGATTTTCGGATTCAGCATAGCAAATAGGCCCGGGTAAGCACAAAATCTCAACGACCTTTTGCTCGGACTTCAGAGCTTCAGAGATTTCGCATCCGTAAACTAATATACCGACATATACCCACTTTTCTAAGTTATCCCATAGATTTTGGTCTTCTATAATCGTAAATGTGCATCGTTCACTGCGCTAAATGGAGTGATAGTAGATTCGGATGCAGCGAAGATAAGGAGATCATTGAAGTAGCAATGCTTATACTTGGGTGCTACTGTCTTCGATGCTGATATCTTCAAAAAATTTGGAACTCATTTTTAGGTTTAATACCTTTGCTTATCTCTTCGAAGTCCCTTGAAGACTTCAAACTGCTTTCATCACGCTGCGATTATGAGAAATACTCAGAGGATACAGATGCATTAACTTTGCATGTAAACTACTCACTAACAACATCCGGATCTCCCCAAAGTGCCACACCGTCGTCATAGTCGGACTTCTTGGGAGTTTTACTTGGATCCCTCCAAATCAAGTCATCGCCATGCAAACCACTGGGTGGTGCCGCATGCTGCAATTCCACGTTCAATGCATAATCAATAAATCTCTTTTTCAACTACAAAAGAGGTTTGGACCAAAGCTCTCATAAGCGGTGTCATGTACCCATAAAGAACTTCTAAAACATCACTTCAGTAAGATCATTTTTAAGACTTGCCATGAAAATCGTCAAAACATGATGCTAAACTGTTTTACTGAAAACTCCTATATCCGCAGAATACAGTCAAGCCAGCATCATATAAAGGTTAGATGTTTTATAGCACGTTTGGACTAAGACAAGCCGCCTCCTCCAAAAATAATCATAATCAAAAATTTTGCAAATAGCCTACATGAGTTATTGCGCAAGCTATCTGCTCGTTTGCAAATGATTTGAATAACTAATATGAATAAAATCAGCATTTCAAAAAAATTCGGAAGCGTAGCTGCTGCCAAGCCACCGTTTCTTGGAAGATTACAAGCTCGCAAAAATTTTAATCCCATAAATTTTTCCTTTTCCGCGTTAGTTCGTTTTACTTTCACGTGGCGCCATTCAGTCGAAAAAAATTTTGTTCTAATGTTGCATATATCCTATGCTATCTTATATATAAAGCTGAATGTCTGTTTGTCTGTCTGTCTGTCTGTCTGTATGTATGTATGTCTGTCTGTACGTATGTTCCGAATAGAAAATTCCATTTCTTAACCGATCCGGACCAAACTTGGCACACATACACTATGTGCCCCGGCGGGTGTCATAGGCTATTTTTCGTCATCGATCGATATCGATTTATCGATTTTTTGCAAAATTTGAGCTATGGGACTGGGAGTGGCACAGGGGGGTAATCGAGCATGCTGATTACGAATATAATAATGACAGGGTCGGGCGGAGCCGGGCAAGTCAACTGGTTTTGTTATAAAAAGCAATTCCCAAAGGGAGACTCTCGTATGCTCTTTCTAGGACACTAATGACCATCTAATCATTGATAGAATGTATTATTTTGGTGGCAAAATGAAAACATTCTTGTTGTTAGAAAGCACTTGTTTTGTTATACACGAAATGAATTTGACCGTATATAACAGCTCAGATACGAGATTTTGCGTGCATATCTAAAGCGACTACATTCCTAACAACAAGTATCTATAACTATTACCGATTTTGTATGTGGGAAATTCATTTTTCGCTCCCCTGCCTACTTGATTTACATTAGCTTTCAGATGAAAGGACTGTTGCAAAGTTTTGACTCGAACTCATTCGCTCGAAAAACACTTTTTGAAGCCATGGTTGAAGCATGACATGAAAAAATCTACATATACAACTGAGATGCAACAATCTCTGTTGCAAAGATAATGAGGTTTCTCGTCCTACAAATTTCTCTGAAGAGGGCAGTTTCAAAAAGCTTCCTCGGTACCGTAAAAAGGAGAACAGAGCAGTCACGAACTAGGCGCTGGACCGCCCAGATTCTCAAACATGAAACTCGAAAGTGAAAGTGGTGATTTCACGACCTAAATAAAAAGGAGAAAACAGGATTGCGGATTCTGTTGACTCCCTGTAGTTGTCCTTGTGGCTACACAGTGGGTTCCCAGCAACTCAACCATATTAGAAGGTTAGAGTCTGTCACAGTAGAGAAATTTAGCCTTTAATGATTTGTGCGACTATACACAATTTGCGCTGAGATGGCAGAATCTACATTATGATTGTTTTCGTTGCATAATGGAATATAGACATTCAGGGGTCTGCAACATTTGAACGTGAAATTTTGCTGAGCTAGCGCAAATCCTGTAACAATCTAGGATCGCGATACCATGTGTGGCATGGTACTGCGATATTAGATGGACATGTTGATCATAGCTACGACACCCCTTGGGACTCTAAGCTTCCTACGGTTTGCTGGTATATGAAAAACACACGCAAATTCATGTGATAAAGTGTTGGCCATAGCGATAAAGCCATGTAGGAATCACGTTAATTTGGCGTCATCTCGAACAAAAAATTGCAGTACTTTCTTCGCTTGAAGTTCCATAAAGAAACAAATTGCTTCGAAACCGCTGGTTCACGGGATTTTTAAGCACTTTTCATTTGGATGGGGGTCTCAAGATTCGCTGAGTCTTCCGATGTATGCGCTAAGGAAGATTTGGTAGCCTTGCGTAATTGCTAGTATTGGTGAACGAGCCACAACCTTACCAAGTAGTAAGCACAATTTTCGATTTCTGACGCTCCAAAACTTTTTGTCTGAAGTTGACAGTCTTCTTGCATAACGACATATTTATAAAAAAGTATTTTCGCAAAGACGCAATAACATTGGTCGAAATGCTTGACCTCAAATTAATAGCGCCTCGTGGATCCAACATAGCTTCAAATTTACCATCAACTCTTCATCAAGTCAACTTACGAAACTGTTAGAAATAATTACTAAGCATTTTGAAATTTTGCGCGATTTTCCGTCCGATGGAATGAACAGAGTGAGTCACGATAACGCAGAGTGCGCCATTTCTGAAGGAAGAAGCTCAAGGTGGAACTAGGATCCTTAAAGGTGGATGACAATCCGGCACTGCGCAGGAGTTCATCGTTGTGCAGACGAGGTATTGAGCACATCCCAGAGCTTTGCGGGCATCAGAACCCAACTTTTATGATTCGAAAGCCTGAAAGTGAGGTTGTACCTTTTTTTGGCGTTAGAGATTACCCAAAGATGACAATCGCCCTTTACCGCTCATCGCAAATATTCGGCGAATCCTGAGGCCTCCATCCAAGTCAAATAAGCACTTGACAATTATGTGAGACAGCAGTTTTTTCTTACAAGGTGTTTGAAATAAAAATCCAAAAATTTTATTTTCTAAAAAAATTCCAATCGTTACAAATGTATCATATTTTATGCCGTAACTGTACAAAAAATTTTGATTCAAATGCAGTAGTGCTTGAAAAAAAGGAGGTGGCCTTATAAGTGTGACCAGTCTTCAGAACAGTTCTTCTAAGTTTTCCAATTTTTACCTGCCAGAATCAGTGAGATTGGGAGCCGCTCTGGTTAATGTATAATATTGGCGTACACCTCAACAATAATTTTTCAAACAGTTTCATTCAGAGCAGGGCAAACGCCGTGATCCCTTGACTTTATAGCTGTGACCAGCACTGTAGTACGTATCCTTGAACCGCGGGAATGTTTATGTTCCAAGCATGAAAAGTGCGAAACTTGATAACCCATTGACGACGATGTGTACCACCGGTGGCCCACGCACTTTCTGCCGCCAGGGACGATGCGTACCACCGGTGGCCCACACCCCTTGCAAAATCACATACTTTCTAGATCTAGTACTTCTTCCACAGTTCAGTAATTTTTCCAAATTTTTGCATTCTTGGAACCTCCAGATTTCGTCGTCCAAGAATATGATTGTAGTTCTTTGCAAACAACTTTGTATTTCGTAAACAATCACAAAACTTTCTCAAGCAGAAAGTGTTGTGCAAAATCGCGTCGTCCCTCAGCGCCGCTGCGCAAAATTAGGCGTCGTCGTCAATGGATTAAGTAATGTAACCCAAGCTAAGCCATCTGGCTGACTATTGACAGCATCACAATGACAGTCAAATACGCACAGATTTTGGCCGAGACTATGCCAGCGACTGAAAGAAAGAATCCCAACAATCAAGGTTTGCAAGAGCCATTCAGTCGTAATTAGGGTGCCTTGAAGTTACCGATTGAGACCACCATGCCGGATAGAATAAAAGCAAATAGCGTTGGAAATTCATGGGCATGTAATCTCAACTTTCTCGACCTGCAGTGGCTCTATCATAGAACGATTTGTTATTCCAGACCAGCATGTAGACCTCCTAGACAACGTTCCGAATTAACAGCAGTTTCCCATATTCTGGAACTATAAATGAGAAAGTGCATGTAAGTAAAAAGTAAAATCACTAAACGATATTGCACAAAGGCAAGTGACGGATAAAAATCTTCGAAGATTTTTACGTACTTGGTCTCATTTATTTCGAGCCCTCTCCGCACAAACTGCCAACATTGCGCAGCATGCGACGCGCAATGAAACGCTTGTTTAGGTACAAATGCCATTGTGCAAGCCATGATCTTGCAACTTTCAAGCTGTGCGTTGCATGGTCCGCAATGTCGGCCTTCCGTGTTTGAAGGGTCATCTGGTAACTCACAGGCTGATAAGCAGTTCTGATGGATGACAAAGATGATCTGGCAAAATCCAATGTCCGTCCACTGTCAACATCATCTCGGGCAGGAAGACCAGTAGAGGAGATCGGCTCATATACAGGCAGATAGGCTGGAATTGTTGACTACATAGAGATCTACTAGCATCACATAAAAGTGATATGGAACAAATCGTGGCGAGATGGATTCCTTCGTATTTACGATCAAATTTCTACTTTCAACAAGTTAAAAGAAAATTGCAGGAAACAAGCATACGAGGATAATCGTAAGTATATCCAAGTGGCTGCAACCGTTCTGTAGATTCTGAGGTTAACGAGGGCCATAAAGAAGAATGCGATGGTTGCATTAACCTGAAAACAGATACCGAAACTCGTTGCACTTTGAACTGCGATAGTCCAATCAATTCCCTAATTTCACGCTATAAGCAGCACAGACACACCGAAGGACTTCGCGACCCAAAAAACTATAGCCGGGCTACATTTTGCCTAAGAGTATCGTGCGGCAAGGCCTCGTTTTCCGACACAACGAGGAGAACTGAGCGGCACGCTTGAAAAACCGAAAAAGGCGCGTCCTATAGCGTGGAATTAGGGTAGTTAAACTCGTTGCACTTTGAACTGCGATAGTCCACTAGATTAATTGTGGTTGTGGTGTCATGCAGGGGCACTTGTTCGGCACCAGTACAGGAACCATGGAAGTCATGTATTCGCACTTGGCCCGTGGAGATGTCGGGGCGGATAGCGGAATTGAGAAGATCGCTCCGGAAGCTGGGACTGTGAATTTACATTAAGGAAGACCCCGCCTACTTCAGATTTCCCTCCTGCGTTAGAGCCCTTTTCTGCCGTTTCTGCGCTTTCCAGTGTGGGTTTTCGCATTCGGCCTAGCGAATAAGCCCTGGTAAGCATAAAATCTTAAAATCGACTTTTTGCTCGGACAATACCTTTAAAGGCCGCGTCCGGACAAAATGACGAGTAGGAATTACAACGTTGCAATGACAGACCTTCCAACTATATATTAGTGAAGCCTGGAAGGAAAAGCGCGTTTGGAAAGCGTAAAATCCACATTGGAAGTCTTCCGAATCTCGCTCCTTTATCGGACCGCCCACTTACACGTAGCTAAAGGCTGCTGCATGACGAAGGCGCAAGAGACGGATAGCTTAGGCGGTCGCGAACGCTGCGCGCGCGTATCTTAAAGGCAGTGGACAGGCAAAATGGACCCCTGTCAGATTTTGGTAGTTTCGGGTAGTGGACCCCCCAAGTACACCGTAGCCCCAACCCCACATTCCAATTCATGCGCTAAGTCCTGAAAAAAGCGCTTCAAACTTCCACCAATAACGCTCACTCAATGCAAGTGGGCGGGGCTGGTGGAGTTTTGAAGCGCTTTTTTCAGGACTTAGCGCATGAATTGGAATGTGGGGTTGGGGCTACGGTGTACTTGGGGGGTCCACTACCCGAAACTCCCAAAATCTGACAGGGGTCCATTTTGCCCGTCCGCTGCCTTTAACCGTTGTAAATCCTGCGGCTCATTAAGGAAGACCCCGCCCACTTCTGATTTCCCTCCTGCCTAGAGCTCTTTTTCGCCGTTTTCGCGCTCTCCAGTGTGGATTTCCGGATTCAGCATAGCGAATAGGCTCGTATAAGCACAAAATTCCAGAATTGACTTTTTGCCGGACACTGCCCTCAAAATTTAAATGTATTATCGACTCAACTACGCGTAGAGGCGGAGTCGTGTCAACTCAAAGCGTTTTTAGATAGCGAGAGTGAAACGCTAAAAGAAGAAAACGCGCATGCAAACCATTAGATCCGTTCGAGTCACGCCCATTTTTGTTCGACGGCGACCTCGGTGGAAATCGCCCTCGACGCGCGTGGAAAACTCGATCAAACACAATTTATTTTGGGTTCCTCAAAGACTCACGCTTATTTGGGACTAGCGGGCCTACCGGCTCCGCCCGGGCCTGTCAAAACACTATGATGAAAGTCCCATCCCTATCCCTGCACAAACTTTCCCTGTTCTACATGCCAGTTCCCTATTCCCGCTGTGTTATATAGTAATCAGCATGCTCACCTACCCCTTTGCAAAAAAAAAATCGATAAAAACGATGTAAGCAACGGATAATTTTGAAGACTAACATTGCATTCGTAATCAGCATGCTCGACAACCTCTCTCAGCCAACTCCCAGAACCGCAGGTCGGACCTTACAAAAATCGATAAAATCCATATCGATCGATAGCGAAAAGTAGCCTACGAAACCGCCCCGCCCCGAAGTGTATGTGTGCCAAGTTTGATCCGGATCGGTTGAAAAATGGAGTTTTCTATTTGGGACATATTCTATTCGGGACATACAGGCCCTGTAAAATCCAACTGCCCACGCGTCGCTTCAAACACCAACGCGCAGCGCGGCTGGAAACGTTTGGTCCCGAAGCGCTACAGGCTTTTTGCGAGCGACAATGAGCGCGCACCCTATCCACAAACATTTTTTTAAACTTGTGAAGGGCTTTCGTCAAGATATACCTTGCATTGACGAGAACAACATGAAAGTTAAAGAGAGATTTCCTGGAATTTAGTGAACGCTGACAGTCGTTCGCGACTACCGCTCGCCTACGCTGGTGTTCAAGGCACGGCGCGGGCAATTAGGTTTTACGGCGCCTATACGTATATAAACAGACAACCGACTTTCAGCTTTATATATGGAGTCAGGGCCATGAAAAGGACTAGATGAGAACAGATTGAACGAGAAAAAGAATCTGGAAGGACGCTGCCTTTAAACATGCCAAACCTTACTCCAAGAACAAGTTACCCATGACTATCATGCTCCAACGTGTTCTTTCACTAAAGCGCGAATGTGATAGTTTTACAAACAAATGGCTTGTTTAAAATACAGACAATCAAATGACTTTCCTGGTTTGTACAGGATATTTCTAACAATAATAGTAAATGGACCTCTGAAACTCGGCAAGAGTACCAATAAAGGTTATCAAAACTCAGAAAAGATCTTTTTTTATCAGGAAGTGAAAAGGGGATCACAACCATTGACTGGTGTGCTGTAACAAAAGGCATTCAGAGGGAAATAGTAATTAGTCTGATATCAACAAAAGGCGCTATAATCTTCTATCAAACTCAATTACATGCTTGTTTTTGCTCAGAAATTGGCGTAAAAGGTCCTGCCTGCACCAAGCTTCTCATTCATTGAAATCGAGCCCTACACCCACCATAACCGTAAAAAGTGACGCTCTAAATCAACCGATGTTCTTAATCAGCGTCTTATTCCCGTTCGAAGATTTGACAAACCATTCCCAATTTCCAAGTGTTTTCAAAACGTATTTTCTTCATGCGAGACGAAGACAGAAGACAAATCTTGGCAATTTGCAGATTGGTGAAACTACCCGAGTTCTCAGTGCTTTACGCTCACAATTTAAAAAACAAACGAATGCGGAGAAGTGAATGCCATAGAAGGAGTGGATTAATGCAGTGTCTCAACGATCTCAACAGCACCAACGGATTTTTGGCAGATAGGAAGTATGCTCGTATGAGTAAATGCAGGTTAGGTGGTTTCTTTAACACAAAACGAAGGCTTGCTTGCCAGTATTAAAATAGATGAATACTAGATACCAAATTCAATGAACACATACCAAATCAGAAAGATAATCTTAGAATTATTCATCCATTATAGTGAGAAAAAATCACATCGCAATCTTTATAAACTTCAGGTGGAACAATACTCTATCAGCAGTCTTCATATTCAGAATATTTGGAGATGCTAATATGCTGAGAAACTAGACAAGCTAATGCAAGAAGATTCATAGGAAGTCACTCTGCAGCATCACCCATTTCTTTCTTGTGAGATATTGGTTTCCAGATTTTTTCGGGTTTTGATGGCTCAGCATTTCCCAACACTCTTCCAGTATGGCTCACAGCTCTGTAATCCATGCCATAATCTGCCGTGCGAAACAGTCGATCCATTTCCTGTAGTAATCACAGAGAAGATTGATTCTCAATACTAATCTGTTTCTGAATATCCTTCCTTACCTGCATCATGAGCTCCGATCGGTCAGGCACGAACAACAGTTCCGGGCAGTTAACACCAATTGAATCCGACAACACCTTTCGCAAGTTATGACGTTCCCGCCTGAGAACATCTTCTATTTCCTGTAATGAGAATGCTTACACTAAAGTGAGTTGTCTTCGCAATGAACCTCATCATTTTTCCCTGTGCAAAGCCACCATATTCGTACATCGGTGAAGGAGCAATTGACTTTCACCTAAAATAGTACATATATTGAAAACTTGTCCCACAACATCACCTTTTGAGCACACTTATTGAGTTATACAAGTTACAAACTTCGTACGCCCATATAAATGATAAGGCATGACCCATGAGATAGCCTATCTTCAGAAATGGTCTTTTATGGTTGCACTACATGACAAAATATACCTTCGTGAACTGAACAGCAAGATTAGCGACATCATCATTAGCTGAAGCTGCTTCGGTTATTTTTGCCTCTAAAATCGCTGACAGCTGCATTACTTTCTTCTGATCCAAATGACGCTGACGCTGTCCAAGAGATTTCAGCAATACCCGGTCTTCTAAACTAAAAGAAAACACAGTCGAAAATCATAGTGCGAAAGCGTCTAAGGGCAACACACCCCATGTCATATCCATATTTCTTGCCAATCATTCTTTGAAAATTCCTCCCCATTGCTTTGTCATAGCGCCACTCTTGCCGAGGTAGCACGCAGTTTCCTACAATTCTCTTACCAACATAAAATAGGAGACATTACGAGATGTATTACTGCGCACAAATAGTAGGTTGAATCGCAGGCGCTATGATTTTTTTTGCATGACACTCGCAAGCTTTCCGATGCCAGCTCAAAGAAATAACGCTGCGCACATATAGGCTGCTGCATGATGAAGGCGCAATACTTTTGGACGCTAACGCGGCTGTGTTAGCCACAGAGCGCATGAAACGCAGGATTTAGGCGCCCGCCATACTTGATCCGCTTCGTCATTGGTCGATTCAGTGAATTGAGCAATAGCGAAGCGATTGTCCGCTTGATCCACTTCATCCACTTCACTATTGGTCAGTTCACTGAATTGACCAATGATGAAGCGGATCAGGGGGATCAAGTATGACGGGTACCTTACAACTGTGGGGGACCCGTCATAATTCGCCGAAAAAAGCCGAAAGAAGCCCGAAAAAGCCCAAAAAAGCCTGAAAAAGCCCAAAAGCGCCAAGAAGAGCCGGAACACTTCTCGCACGTTTTGGCGCTAAGGCATGTGTGTTGACTTCGCAATCGAGCATTTTTGTCATTTTCTGTCGTCCGCATGATAAGATAATGTCAGAATTCTACCAAAAGCCGGTTGTACATTCCGGCTCTTTCTGGCGCTTTCGGGCTTTTTTGGGCTTTTTCGGGCTTCTTCGGGCTCTTTCGGGCTTTTTTGGGCGCTTTTGGGCTTTTTTCGGCGAAGTATGACGGGTCCCTGAGAATACGCGCGCGCCGCGTTCGCTCCCTCTCAACTGAAACTGCTTCGCCTTCGTCTGCAATAGCCTTTACGTGCAGGAGTTTAAATGTAGTGGCAAAAAATACAGATGAAAACGCGAGCCAAAATCTGGGTGGCAACTTTGCAATCATTCAACATGCTACTGCGGAATGACTGCACTGACCGAAGAATTTCATAAAATCGACCATGCGATTTGAAAGCTTGACATACCACATATTCTGCCTGTTTTCCTAGATTTCGCCGAGAATCTATGGACTTGCCGTACGGCTACAACAATCGGTGACCGACATGATGAAGTACTGGCGACAGCTGCCATATAACCAGACTTAATTGTAAATTCTAGAATAGAGTCCTACAACAAAAACAGTTGTCGACAAAGAGAAGAAATTACGCTCAAAAACACTAGCATTTCCCGCAACTTCTGCCAATTATTTTTGTATACAAACAGATGCCAATTTATGGGGAGAATATAAATGACAAACAGGAATGTCTACCTCACGCATTCTTTCCAAAGGCTTGAGTCAGCCCGAAAAAATGTGAAGAAAGTAAGGACGACGCACCCTATGCAACTGTCCACAGAGTGACAAGATAGATAATTGTTTATTATGGATTTGTATAATTCATAACCTCTGTATTTAGAGACTAGCTAGGCTGTAGAATTGGTGTAATAAAACCGATAGAATGCAAGACTGACATAAGAAGAAAAAAGAAAACACTGAACCCAGATTATAGTATCACAAGATCTAATGAGGACTGAAGATTAAAGGCACCGTCCACCCAAATTAGGGTTGGTGAGATTATGATACCTAACAGATGTGGGGCCCCCAACTGTATGATTGCCCAACTCGCGCTGCCTGAAGTTGCTTCCGAGCCGAGAAAATTGCTTCGGAAATCGCTTTAGGCTGCGTTCGCGACGCTGGCTCCTCCCCTTTCGGAATGGGCGTGACGTTCGTCCCGCCCATCCGTGCGAGGCCAACCAATCACCGTACCGAAGAAATCGCTCTGCGGGTTCTGAAAACGGGGGTTTTTCGTGGTTTTCGCGGATTTTCAACTTAATATTTGGAATCAGGGGTATGAGAACGCCCTGGAACGACAAAAACATGGAGGTCGAAATTTTGGGTGGACGGTGCCTTTAAGTCACAGCAACGTATTTGAGAACAATAGTAACGATCAATATGAGAACCATTTCTACACGTTCACTGGTACTTCAGCAAGAGTAGTTTCTAGTCTGGCTATTGGTCACCAGCGCCTATAAGCTTATTCAATCTCGTGAGATAGCGTTTACGGTTATCCTCGATCAATGTCCACTTCCTTTCTGTGAATAATCGCTTCCATTGGGATGGATCTGATGGGACCTGGAAAAAGAAACGGTATCACAGCACTGAAGACACAACAGCAAAGTGGTTATAAAAAATGTAATGCAGTGTCACACTGACGAGGTACGAAGCTAAAAGTAACGTCCGGACAGATTGGAGGTAGTCGGTCCCGTACATCCTAGAATATTTCGCCGCCAAGTCAAAGCTCAAGTGCACCCATATGTCTAAACCGAGAAAAATTCTATTAGGTCCATTTTTGACGCTCCCAACTAGGGAATGAAGAAAACCTCAAGAATCGTCATGTTACGGTAACTCAAAGGATCCTTTCATTGCCTACTCATCTCCAGTTTCAACATTTCTAGAAACTCCAAAGGCCAGTTTCGAGCTCACGTCAGCACCCTGGGCACCACCCACATTGATGGGCGGAGTGCCTCTGTTATTTTCCCGAAGCTGTTTCGCAATTCTCTTTTGCAGCGAATTTATGCCAATTACCAAGTCATTATTTGATACTGTAGGGTATTCAAATTTCATCAAAAATTAGGTCAACGGTGTCTCTGAGAAACGATTGTGTCAAGCTTCAACATTTCGTTAGATAATTATGATAAACAATTTGAGGAAAAGTTGGGCATTCCAAGAATACAATGTTACGCTGAAGTAACGCCACCGCCAAAGGTGGACGTTAGCGTAAATAAGAAACAAGAAATATCGTCCACTGTCTGATTGATTGACGAAACTGATTTTGACTGATCTCCCACGGATATCGTAAAAAAACCTTCTTATTCGACCACTTCCTTAAGCCCCTCCTCAATACGGCAACCACACGCCGAGTAAACCTGCATTCAAAGTGGACATCTCGTCGTTTTCTCTCGCGCCTGAACAAATCTTTCCAAACAACGTCTTTTTGCTCGAGGTGCTTATGTTTATCTTGCCGCAAGTGCCAGAATGGGGCACACTCGTCAGCGTCACTTCCTCGAGCCAAAGAAAAGCGAGGCTCTATGATTTTACGTGAAAAAGTGATGTAATGGTATGAGGCGCCTCTATGACGTGCATACCGGTCACGTCCCCGCCTTTGCACCAACCGAGCCTTCTACCCAATGAGGACGTATTGCTACCGGAACAATTTGAGAAGATTTACGGATTGACTTGGTAGCCGGCTGTTCTCCGCAAGGTTAGCAAGCATTCGCTAAAGTCAAATATACAATAGAAGGCGTTCGACGCATTCCCGCAGAGTATATTAGAGACACCTCTTTGTCCTCTATAGCATTATGCAGAGTAAAGAACTTTGTTCCTCAAACCTCGATACCTTACTTTTAGTGAGGCACTGCCTTCAAAGAAACAGACTGCCTACCATGACGTTAGAAGTATCACATACCTTTCCCATTATGCGAGGAAAGACTTGAAGCTGGCCTGACTTGATTTTTTCGACGGTGGACTGAAAAGCTGCAGGTTTTGTGAAGAAGAGGTTCAGTTAAATCTAAGTCATAGATAGTAAATGCTAGACAAGAGGTAAAAATAAAGGTGGTGTCACAGTCGTTGAAAATCTGATACCTACGCTAATGTGCAGGTATTGTTAGAAAATTTCAAATGAGTATGCAGTGTAAGACAAATGGATATTAAGCGTTATAGATCTACGATAGAAGCAAGATACTTGGCTTATAGCTTACTAGTTGGCAAACCCGGCTCCGCCCGGGCCTGTCAATAATATAATTATAATCAGCATGCTCGATTACCCCCCTCTGCCAACTCCCAGCCCTGTAGCTCAAATTTTGCAGAAAAATCGATAAAATTGATATCGAATAACAAAAGTAGCCTATGATACGCTCCCTGCCCCGAAGTATATGTGTGCCAAGTTTGGTCCAAATCGGATCAGAAATAAAAATTTCTATTCCGCACATACGTACAGACCGACATACAGACAGACAGACATTCAGCTTTATACAGGGTGTCCCAAAAAATGTGCCTACTGTTTGATTCATACCTTCGATACATAGAGCCACGTACTCTGGTAATTTTCACTTTGAGTGTCATGAGAGGACACAACCTTCACCTGGAGAGGAGTACAAGTCATCCGGGGCGAAGCCCCGGATATTATGACATAACTAATACTAACTATGTAAGGATGAATGTGAATGAGGCAAATATAGTAGTGACATCCAAAGAAAAGCTCAAAAAACCGAAAGATTGCGTTTTCATGGCCTTTTTTGCTGTAAAGAGGGTTTTTCTTCAAAAATTCAGTTAGAAATTAGGATAAAACTTATCAGTTAACCTTTCTATAGACTGCGATTGAGCGTTGCAGGTTCATGAAAGCCGCTGGAGTTCAACAAAAACGAGAAACTGCGCTGAAATCTTGCGCAGAGAGTCGCCACATAAATGCTGGTCTATCTCGTTATGGAGTGAGATTCAAGACACGCGACGTTGTCAGTGCTCCTGGCCGTGTCATGAGGATCACAACGATATATAATATTATAGGGTTTCGTTATGACCCCGCGGAGATCAATGACCAGAGCCAAATGCCCCGCCGGCTCTGGTCTCTCTCCGCTGCTCGTCTGCGTCTCCGCGCGCTGCGCGCTACCTCGCTACCCCAAGCGCGGGGCGCGGGGCATTTGGCTCTGGTACCCTTTTCTTCGCTGTTTCGAACCCAATTTTAGCAAGCTATATATCATTTTGAAGCTCTTGATCTCTATTTTCACGCTGACAACGTCGCAGGACTCCTTTTAATGATTTAAACAAGAAAACCGGCAAAAACCTTGTTTTTGAAAATCTCTCGTTTTTCTCCTAGTTTGACTCTTTTCACGCAGTTTCTTTGTGTAGTCGATAGGTCTTGTTTCTGTCTATAATGTAGACAACGTCGCCGAGCTTATTTCTTTCCTTATGCCGCTTTTTTTGTGAAAATTACTAAAAAATGCGTTTTTCTTTACCTTATTCTTTTTCAGTAGTTTCGCAACGAATTTTCTCCAGCTTGGACGATACTTGCTCAGCATGATGAGCGGAAGAATCTAGACAACGTCGCAGGGTACAAGAGGGACGGCGCGGGGGTAAAATTTAAAGGACGCATCAAAAATCAAAACCCCGTGTTGCGAGTTGCTGGTCCTGGAGCGAAAACTTGCATTCTGTAAAGCCGCCAAATGAAAGATTTCAAATTTTATTGCAGCGTTTTTATCCGGTTTACAGCCGTTTCTTTTGCTTTTTATGTCTGTTTTACGTCATTTTCTCTTCTCTGATCTTCTTTGAACAACCTTCACCATTTGTGACGTCAGATGTTCAAACAACCTTCACTTTTGGCGCCCTGTCTCTAGACTATCGAAGGTATGGTTTGATTGTAAATAACTCTCTTATAATGAAGTGTTTCAAGAAGCTTTAGGTACCGTTTTGTAAAGCGAGGTCAAACTTAGATTTACCGTATAGAGCGAATCATCCACCACTCTTCATTACTGTAGGATTACGGTACGAACTTCAACAAGGATTTTACGCTTTTGGAGGCTATTATCTGCCTCGGAGCGGAACCAAACAAGCTAAAAACTCTTATACTACGGTAATGGGAGCCGCTGATTTCCAATATGAAGTTTCCACTTTACCACGATGCTTCTTTCCAAAGTTATCCCCGGTAAATCGTAATAACTCAATTCCCAGCATTTGTCAGAAATGTAATTACACCGTCAGAAAAGCTGAAAACACTCGTAAAAAGTAGGAGGAATCAGCATGCGCGAAAACCCTATATACAATTTTGCAGATTTTTTGGAAGAAAATTTTGTTAGGTGCTATACTTCACCATGGTTCCATATGCTGGAAGTTTGTACCGTAATCCTACAGTAATGAACAGAGATAGATGATTCGCTCCATACTGTAAATCTAAGTTTAACCTCTCCCTACAGAATGGTACCTAAGGCTTCTCAAAACACTTCATTACATCAGAGTTATTTACAATTAAACAGTAGGCACATTTTTTGGGACACCCTGTATATAAGATAGCGCCATATGGTACCGGCACTCTAAAAAACAGTAAAACTTGTTCGAAAACAATGAAAACACAACGTTGCATCAACTTTGTAAACATCACTTCCCACCTGTTGGTCTCTTGTGCGCTCTAACTCCATTCGTATGTCTAGAAGCGATGATGATGGGTAAGACTGTTTGATACGCATGGCAACGTCGTCAAGCATACGTGTATCGATCATCTTCTGCAAGAAGCAGCCTATGCCTATGAAAAAAAAGTAGCCAACTGACTTTTACTGGAGCCGCAACCGTTCTCGCATGCAAATGTCTTTTCGCAGCTTCGTTGGCATCAGCATGGGTGAAATTTGTCGTTTTCAAACCCATGTGTTCAGCAATGTTACTTTCTAGACGATTACAGAAGTCTTCTGCTGATTCCTAAACATGCTCAGGTAAGTGATTCCGAGAAGAGTAATAACATACCTGTTCTTCCTTTCGTAGAACATCAAGCCACTTGAGATGATAAACGCTAAAGGGAAGGAAAAGGAACCAGAGAACATCGGCTATCCATGAAGAACCAAGCACAGAGGGCGATACATTAAAGATAGGACGATAGAGTTGAATCACCACTGGCTGAACTTTATCGGACACCTCGCATGGCCACGGGCTAGAACAGAAACTTCACACATAATGGAAGGACAAGATTCGGTAAGTCCGTCTCTAATGCATTTTACAACTTAGAAGGTTGTTCTGAAGGACTGCAAAGCCTCAAGCAGAAAATTCAAACCTGAACTTCAACAATCCAACATGTCCACTGGTAGACGCGCCTTCTGGAAAAGCTAAGAGAGGAAGCGTTTCCGTTTCCACATGAAGACGTGCACGACGAATGAGTTCCGAGCGGCTGGTACGGGCTCCCAGATCCACGTATCCAAAGCACCTACAAGAAAACATAGCATGAGGCAGGGAAAAGGACTTCAAAAAACACACCATCTTATGAGAGCAGGAACATCCCATACAGATGGCAAAATGCAAGGTTCAACAAGATCTACAGCCAGATGATCCAAGGTAGTTATATGATTTGCACACATCATCTTAACTTGAGACGATCTAAATGTGACAAGATCAACAACGGAACAAATTATAAATACAAATTATACACTTACCTAATGTACAGGGTGTCCCAAAAAATGTGAACACTGTTTGATCGTTAAAGGCAGCGTTCAGGCAAGTCTGGACTTATGGGGATTTTACGTGGAAAGTACTTTTGGGGCCCTAACTAAGCCACTGCCCAACCGGCAGCTCAGGTAGTGCCCTAGCGCCTGAGATATTCCCCTCGAAACTGGACCCCGCGACCGTGTTTCGCATGGATTCATGGCGCAAAGCGTGGATCCTGGCGCGAAACTGCCATGAATCCATGCGAATACGTTCGCGGAGGCCAGTTTCAAGGGGAATATCTCAGCCATTAGAGCACTACCTGAGCTGCCGCTTGGGCAGTGCCTTAGTTAGGGCCCCAAAAGTACTTTCCATGTAAAAGCCCCATAGGTCTAGATCTGCCTGGACGCTGCCTTTAACAACTCTCTTGCTTTCAGGTCTTTCGTCAAGCTTGAGGCGCCATTCTGTAGGGCGAGGTTCAACTTAGATTCCGGTCTTTATTCGCTACTGTAGGATTACGGTGCAAACTTTGAGGAAGACTTCAGGAAAATGAAAGCGATTTTTGCCTCAGGAAGAAAGCCAAACAAGCCAGAAACCAGAAACTCTTGTAGTGGACTAATCGAAGTCGTCGATTCTATACATGTTTTTGCACTTTACTTTGATGCTTCCTTCATGAGTTATTTTGTTTTAGAGTAACATTTGTTTTTTCAATGTTCATCAGAAGTCCGATTACACCATCAAAAGAGCTCAAAAAACTAGTGAAAAGTTGTGTACTGGAATCAGCACGCCTGAATACCTTACTACACAAATTTTCAGATTTTTGGAATTTTTTCCAATAAAAGGCCTATTCCATAGTGACGCAATATGCTGAAAGTTCATACCGTAATCCTACAGTAACGAAGAAAGATCGAAAATTCGTTTCATGCTGAAAATCTAAGTCGAACCTCGCCCTACAAAATGGCGCCTCAAGCTCGGCGAAAGACTTGAAAGCAAGAGAGTTATTAACGATCAAACAGTGTTCACATTTTTTTGGACACCTTGTATAAAGAAACGTAAGCGCAATTCAAAAATCTGCAAATGGCGGGAAACCGCGTGGCGGTCGAAGCGCGCGCACACTACATATATACACGCATACAGCAACTAGCACCTTCAATTACTGGTTCACTAGTAAACACAGAAAAATTTTCAAAAATATAAATACAGAAAAAAATTCAAAAAGAATCCCCACTCGCAAAAAGTAACGTAAAGGAGTAAACTATAGGCGATGATCGGAGACATGCTAAACAGTTGTGAGAGACTCAACCAACAGTCGTTCCTTACCTTTTACCATCACTGCGGACAACAATTCCCAACACAGCACACATCACTCGTAGAACAGCAGAGCGAGCGGAAGTAGACTTTCTCAGCAGACATGCAATGAAGAAAGTGTGAAATCCAATAAATAGCCGAAGTATAAGAACAGCACAACCTGAAAGTTCCATCATAGACAAATAACGGACGAAAAGGGTTAAAATACCTTACCTATCGGGAAGTAAACTAATAACAATAGCTTAGTGAGTGATGAGGGGATGCGCTCAAGATAAAACAAATCTTTGATATCCGGCGGCCGTGACATTTGCTACAAAATTACCTTCGCAACGATTATCATCATCGCACAAAAACACTTGATATGTTTGCTGCCTTACAGTGTGAAGCAATGAACAGACAAGTGACTAAACGTATTATTCTTCTCAAATCATGACAACATGCACAAAAAATAGAAATCTGACAGATGATCGACATCACAAATCCAAAAAGCGTCGGACGCAACAAAAAACATGATAACCATAATTATTCCTAAATCAAAAAGAAAAAAAAAACAGGAAGAAAAATATCCACAAAAGCAGTGAGATAATCTAATGGGAGGGAAAGATGACCTAACACTAACAAAAAGAAGTGCGCGCACCCTGCTCCATGACCAGAAGTACAACAGAATTGAAATTAAGAAAAAAGAATGGTACATAAGAGAAGAAAACATTCAAAAGTCCCAAGGTCACCGTTGCAAATTTAACGATGCGAAACAGGCAAAAAACGTCCGCGTGGAAAATGTATTGGAAGAGGAGGAACCTCGGTGATACTGCCATTTCCTTCCACCTGAAAGGAAGACATAAACCAGAAGCACCAGAAAACGATTTTTGCGGAATTGTACATACCAAACGAACTCCGTTTTGCGTCTCCACAGTTGTATATCCAGATGGGACTTCCACTCGGGAGCAGTCGCCGAACAATCGGATTCTATAAACGCCAAAGATATTGGAAGAAAGGTAGGTAAATGCAGACACGGAATATAAGAAGTGAACCTTGCTTCAACAGACTCAAGTTGGCGGCGAGTTTTACAAACACGAGGATCACGTGCAAAAGCTTTCGTAGTGAGACTAGACGGTATTTCGGAGTCAAGAAACAGCGGCTGCAAATGAGTAATTTTGACCAAATATTTCTCGTACTAAAAAATAAGGTGAAACTGTTTCGCACTTTCGCTAGAGCTGGATCTTCTCGAAGCGTGTCTCCCTCCTGCGAATCCGACATCAAATTCAAGGCATCGGCCAATGTTTGGTGCGGAGTCGAAGTAGCTCAAAACAAATGCGATAATATCGGAATAAACAGGAAGTGGTAAGATATATTTCATCAAAATCAAAGGTGACACTTGCACCGCAGATGCTAGTTGAAATTAGCGCAAGCTTTGCTGCGAAGGACCAAACTGATGTGGATATGATACCGAAAGTTCAGTTAGTAGAAGAGAATACCTTTCAGAATAATTTTTGCAACACTGCGGCACTTTTCGTCTTCATTCTTCCTAAGGTCCAACGAGCTGCTTTCGGCAGAGGTAGTTTCGCTCGTTTTCACTATGTCGCTAGGCAGGAGAGGCTTCCGAAGTTGCAAAACCTTAATAAGAGGCAAGATAATGAGCAACACAAGGAAATCCTTTGATGTAAGACAACGCTTTCATATTTAGATGAACGGGGAGCTGCGGCCTTATGCGGTCGCAAATAAAAATCATCGCTACACTACCACTGTCTTGCTCAAAAAACAAACTACTAGCATCTTGGAGTAAGCAATTAGTGCAGAAGCTGTTGATGAATTGAGGAAAGACTTGTTCCAAATGTGAGTTTGGAAGTAGAGAAATTAGAGTGCCAGAGGAAAATTAACACTTTCCTCAATGAAAAAAAAACGAATTAGCGCTTGATTGAGTGGGCCATTCGAAGTCGAACTAGATTAATCGAAAAATAAAAATTCAGTCCTTCTTTCTGTGCCATTTGAGCAGTAAACCAAACAAATATGCTCGACTTTACAAAGAATGTAACACATGTTGAGTTTATAGATTCAGAATTGTATAAAGTATTGGTTGCTCGAAAAAGGCAGAGAAAATGAGAGAATAACTGATTTGATAGAGGCTTTGAGTAGAAGCAAACAGAGGCTTTACAAGCTATACATATATTTGCAATTCGATATACCAATGATCAGCAAAACGAAGTTGTTGTCGATATGATTTTCATTGGAGGCATAACCAAGCTAACGTCGACTATCTTTCGGCAGTGACCTGCTTGAATTTGATAGGTTTCAGTCTTCGAGGAAGGATGAATCTCTGAGAAGAATGAACAGACGAAGCAAGCTAAGAAGGAGAAAGACAAAAAACTTTGCATGAAACTTGAAAGAAAGCTACCTAACTTAGCTGGCCTTTGGCAAAGGACATATACAGGGTGTCCCAAAAAAATGTGCCTACTGTTTGATTGTAAATAACTCTCTTGTAATGAAGTGTTTCGAGAAGCTTTAGGAACCGTTTTGTAGAGCGAGGTTAAGCTTAGATTTGCAGTATGGAGCGAATCATCTATCACTCTTCATTACTGTAGGATTACGGTACGAAATTCGACAAGGATTTTTGGGCCACTGGAGGCTATATTCTGCCTCGGAACAAAACCGAACAAGCCAAAAACTCTTATACTAGGGTAAAGGGAGCTGCTGTTTCCGAATTTGAAATTTCCATTCTACTCTGATGCTTCTTTCCAAAGTTATCCTCGGTAAATCGTAATAACTCAGTTCCCAGCATCTGTCAGAAATGTAATTACATCGTCAAAAAAGCTGAAAACAATCGTAAAAAGTTGTTAGGTGGAATCAGCATGCGCGAAATCCTTAATACACGATTTTTCAGATTTTTTGAAAAAAATTTTATTAGGTGGTAAATTTCACATTAAATCCATATGCTGGAAGTTCTTACCGTAATCCTAGAGTAATGAAGAGCGACCGATGATTCGCTCTATGCTGCAAATCTAAGTTTAACCTCGCTCTACAAAACGGTACCTAAAGCTTCTCGAAACACTTCATCACAAGAGAGTTATTTACAATCAAACAGTAGGCACATTTTTTTGGGACACCCTGTATATTCTGAGCTTCAAACGCTAATTCCAAACATGTTATCTCCTAACTGCGGCGCACCATTCCGCAAGCTGCGGGCTTTTTACTGCGCAAAAGTGGCATACTAATGAACATGAGAAGACTCCCTGTAAGGTGAAAATCTGCAGCAAAGACTTGGGACATCGAGATAACATCAAATCCAGTCTTGTGTCAAAGCTTAACGCTGTATTACCACTTAAATGATGATACCGTGATAAGAGTAAGTCGATGAGTATGCAAACTTTGCACAGAAAAAATTCACTGAGTCGCTCCAGATTGAACCCCCAGAGCCAAGAATAGCATATTTAGAATCAATGTTTGAAGCTGATTTGGAATCCTTAAGTTTCTTCCCGAAAGGTGAAGTTAAGCTAGGTACTTTCCTTTACTAGAAACGCAAACAAACTAACCGGACGACTCACTGCTCGTGAAGTTTTGAACTTTCCGTTAGCATCGCGCTTGATCGGCGAAGTAAGAAAGAGCAATCGACGAGGATTTTGATGAACCACTGGACGAGCAGAGTTCTCGCGGGCCAATGGAGAGCTCGACGGAGTGCTTGAGGATGACGGAGCTCCGGGAGTAACCGGAGGTGTGATTTGCGCTGTGATTTGGTTTCTTTCTTTGCAGGCCTGGAAGGTACCTCCAAGATACTTACAGTTATTTTTTTAAGCAAAGAACTAACGCTCGAAGTAGATATTGGCTGCTCTAGAGCTGGCTGCGATGGGCTCGTACTTTCTTTTTCCGGATTATTTTTCTCTTGAGACCCACTCTCGGAAGCACTGCGTTCGTCGGGCACTTCCGCTCGTACAGGAGAGTCGGTCAATAGTTTGCGAGGAGTTGGTGGAGGCGGTTCACACCCATGGTACGCTATGTACACGTTGCGATCAGTCCATGAAGACCATTTCATCGACGGCTCTAGCAGTGAGGCACGACAATTCACACGCGCGATTTCGAGTATACGCCTAGATGAAAAACATTGTTTGTTCTGAACAGATGTCTAGCGAGATAGCATCAGTTGCAATACACAAAATGGTGCAATTTACTGTATTTCAAGCATGAGAATTAAGCACAAGTTTTGCCTTTTATTGGCCATCTCTAATTTGCGGACAGTAAACTGTGGCTTTGGAATGAGCAGACGTACATTCCCAGGGTATCTATCCTTGGTAGGGTTATAAGCCCCAGTAAATGGAAATACTGACTTTAATTGACAATGCTGTGTAGGAGGAGTTGCCAAATGTCGTCTCAGGCCGCTCATGGTTTTATAACCATACGTGCACTTGCGACAAAATGGGCACAGAAGTCCACGAGGGCTCTTCGGCTGCAAAGAAAAAGTCTCACAAAGCAAATTATAGTGAAAGAAGAGACTGAACCGAATTTACATGGTATCGTAAAAGAACATCGTCAGTGTGTTCCACCATGTGACGCTGCATGGCACAGACACTGTGGCTTTGGAATGAGCAGACGGTACAGTCCCAGGGTATCCTTGAACAAGGTCACAGAAAATAAGCATGGAAAACTTAGAATCATTGCCAACTCACCATTTCTTTGATGGAGTGAGACGCACGACGGGAGAAACTACAGACGGCATTCCCAATGCTTCTATGGCGGCTTTGTTGAAATTGAATACTCTGAAAATTAGTGCAGAAGCATACAGCAGACAAAGTTATTACAAAGAGAAGGCCGTAAGCGTTGAATCTTGAGTGTGAGATAAAGTACAAACCTAATCTAATAAATATGATCATGATGAGTGCGAGATTATGTACAGCCTAGTCTGATATACAGGGTGTCCCAAAAAATGTGAACACTATTTGATCGTTAATAACTCCCTTGCTTCCATGTCTTTCGCCGAGCTTGAGGCACCATTTTGTAGAGCGAGGTTCAACTTAGATCTACTTTTATGGATCGAATCATCGATTGATCTTTTATCGGGAGAATTGGGAACAGCGAAATAAATTACAAGTACAACATACATTTGTGCGATAATAAAAAGGGGTGCCGCTTATAGCGGCACACTCCGGCCGGGCATGAGAAGAAAAAGAAGAGAATAACCGAACAAATAAGTATTACTTCCTTATCGCATTTTTCATCTGTCAGGATCACGTAGTGGTCGATGTCGTAGTGGATCGCTGGTGATTTTGAAGCGGCAATGGGCACAATCGGCGTTGCAGCATGGATGGAGCGATAGACAGAGAAGCAATTGTCTGTGATTATGACATCGTTTTTGGGAGTCCTTCCCCAGCGGCGGGTAGTATACAAGGTTTTGAGCTCCGGTGCTTCGTTTGCCGTCGTCTTTGCGTCCGAGATACTGCCACTCGTTTGCCTGCGGCAATCTCGGTATCATGACCTCCATCGTTGGGCGCTCGTTTGCAATGGTTGGTAAGGTACTATCGATGTCTTCTTCACTGTGATTTTTTCCGCTAACGTCAACGTTACTTTTTTCGTCGTTGCCGTTGTCGTGGGTTTTTGCACCGTTACTCATTTTGGGTAAAACGTCTAACTTGTCGTTGTTGTCCCCATCGTTTCTGTTGAGCGCACTTTGTATGTTTGAAATTCCCATGCAATTCATGAGCCTTGCGATGGGAAACTTCCTTCCGCTTCCTACTAGCTCTAGCATATCATCTGCCATGCGGTCTTGCAAGAGCCATAAAAACCTTTTAGCATCGAAAATGGTTTCAAAAAATCTTATCTCTTCTTCCAAAGTGTCCCAATCCTCCGCCATTGACTTCTTCGCAGCTTCGGATTCAGCCTCCTCGCATCTTTCCATTAATATGTCATGATCCATTTGTAGCGATTCGATGGCATCTTCAACTTCCATTTTGCACCTCGCTAGTGAGTTCAGATGGTCATGGCATAGATTTTGGCGCATTTGATCATCATCTGGAAGGATAAATTTCTCACCGTGGCCCCCGTACTTCTGCAGTAGCTCTGCAAGTTCCATGGTAGATGTTCTGAATACATCTTTGAGGAATGGCGAAATCCTCATTGTTGTTGTAGTTGTGCTGCTCTTTGAGCAAGCACGTATCGGTCTTATTTGGCCGATGCACCAAAATGTTTCGGTGGTTCGTAGGCTCTATAGTGGCCTTAGGCGAAATAGCGCCTGGTAGAGTGTGTTATATAGAACACATAGCTAATAAGCTTTATTGAGACAGGCGACCTGCACACGTTGGTGCTGTGGTAGAATGCTAACGATAATAGGCGTGGCTACATAAGTTACTAGGCATCTGGGCAGTAAACAGACTTATATCACAGCGGGTCATGCTTATGGCATGACCTTTACGGTACTTACCCAGTGAGATACAGGCGAAGTGATATAGAATTAAGGAAGTGCCGACAATATCGGCACACTCCCGCCGGCAGAAGGAATAAGGAGCGGAATGTTGTAAATAACAGCAAAATAGCAAATTTGAGCATGTAGCAACAGTTGTCTATTAAGCGGTGGCGTTTGTCTGGATCTCGTAGAGGTCGTTGCTCCACTGCGATGCGATTGAAGACGAGGCGCCGGCAAGCTGAGGGACTGTCATGAAGTGTAGAGGAAGACGAGTGTAAACTAGAATGGTGTATACTGCGTTTCTGTAGATTAGCATATACTTGTGAATACGTATGGAGAGATTCGCGACCACGCTTCTTGTCGTTCTTCACCTTGCATCGAAATTGCAAACTCTGGTAATGTCGCCTTTCACTGACATCGCCTGTGTCTGCCTGTGGCATTCCTGATGTAATGACCTGTGCTAGGGTCATCCAGATGTATCGGTGGCTCTAGGCTTTATAGTAGCCTAAGGCGAATAGCGCCTTTCGTGTGTTATATAGAACACATAAGCTGTAGGTAGCTTTATTGAGACAGACGACGTGCGCTCATGGGCGCAGTGGTAGAATGCTGTAGATAATAGGCGTGGTATAGTAACATAACAGATATCACAGCAGGTCATGCTTATGGCATGACCCGTACGGTACTTCGGTGAGGATAAAGATACGGTTATTAAGAAGGTGCCGACAATGGCGGCACACTCCGGCTATCGGGAGAATTGGGAACAGCGAAATAAATTACAAGTACAACATACATTTGTGCGATAATAAAAAGGGGTGCCGCTTATAGCGGCACACTCCGGCCGCAGTTGTGCCGATGTCGGCAGTTGTCGGCACCTCTCTTTGTAGCCTATCACTCTTTCGCCAGATTACCGTTAAGGTCATGCCATAAGCATGACCTGCTGTGATATGAGTGTGTTTATAGCCCAGATGTTTGTTATGTTACTTTGCCACGCCTTTAATCGTTAGCATTCTACCACTGCTCCCATGAGAGCATGTCGACTGACTCAATAAATCTGCCAGGCTAGTGTATTGTCCACACCTGCAGATACTCCTATCAAGGCGGTAACTACGCCTACGGCTACGTCAACGTACGTCAGCCATTACATTTCTGGTGCATCGGCTAAACAAGACCGATACCATGCTCCGCTTCCAAGGACAAGATAGAAGCCACAATGGAGCAATTCCGACTTTGCATCACCATATGGAGGATGTGAGAATACACGCCAAAAGACTCGCGGAACTACTACGAAAGTACGCGAGCTATGGTGAGAAAACATTATTTCCAGACGATGAACAGGAGCGACGAAAAGTATGCGTCGACAAACTGCACGTACTACCAAAGTGCATCTTCGACATCATCCTGGGCTCACAATTGGCACGATCGAAGACCGACTTGCTCAAGAAACTGTACAAAAGCGAGAAGTGCAGATTTACGAGGCAGCGGATGGCAGAAGATTTGGATTCGCTCAACAGAGAGATAAGTCAAATCACTAATGATGCACAAAATGTTTCGGTGGTTCGTAGGCTCTATAGTGGCCTTAGGCGAAATAGCGCCTGGTAGAGTGTGTTATATAGAACACATAGCTAATAAGCTTTATTGAGACAGGCGACAATGTATCGATGGTTCTAGGCTTTAGTGTAGCCTGAGGCGAAATAGCGCCTGGTTGAGTGTGTTATATAGAACACATTAGCTAATGAGCTTTATGAACAGGCGACCTGCACTCGTGGGTGCTGTGGTAGAATGCTGTAGATAATAGGCGTGGTATAGTAACATAACAGATATCACAGCAGGTCATGCTTATGGCATGACCCGTACGGTACTTCGGTGAGGATAAAGATACGGTTATTAAGAAGGTGCCGACAATGGCGGCACACTCCGGCTATCGGGAGAATTGGGAACAGCGAAATAAATTACAAGTAGAACATACATTTGTGCGATTAAAAAAGGGGGTGCCGCTTATAGCGGCACACTCCGGCCGGGCACAAGAATGAAAGTGAAGAGTATTGCAGAACAAATAAGTCTACTGTCTATCGCGTTTTCCATCTGTCAGGATCGCGTAGTGGTCTTTGCCGTAGTGGATCGCAGGTGATTGTGAAGCAGTGAGCGCGATCGGTGATGCCGCATTTATAGAGCAATAGAGTGGTAGGCAGCTGTGAAATATGGATATGACGCTTTTTCTGTAAAATCAACTCTAGCGGCGAGTGGTATACAGAATCTGAAAAACTGCTGCTTCGTTTGTAGTCGTTCTTCTCCTTGCATCGAAGATGTTGCTTCTCACAGAGAGGTTCAATTACATCGCTGCACTCGTTTGCCTGTGGCAATCTTGGTAGCATGACCTCCATCATCGGACGCTTACTGGCAGTAGTTAGTAGCGTGCTATCGATTTCTTCACTAGAAATCCTCTTGTTATCGACATCTTTACCTACTTCACTGTTGTCGTCGTTAAAGATTTTGGGAATCTCATTGCTCGTTCCTTTGAGTGTAACGTCCAGATCTGCAGTTTTCGTCATTGGCATTGGTTTTGATGGTGATTTACTGCCGTTGTTATTCTCATCCTTTAGTTTGAACAAGGTTTCTCCGTTTAAATTTTTCATGCCATTCATGAGCCTTGATGTGGGAAATTTCCTTCCGCTCCCTGCTAACTCTAGCAAATCATCTGCCATACGATCTTGCAAGAAATATAGAAAGCTTCTAGCGTCAAAAATGGTTTCAAATAATCTTATCTCTTCTTCCAAGGCGTCCCAATCCTCCTCCATCATTTCCTTTGCCGCTTTTGATTTGGCGTCTTTGTGTAATTCCTTTAATATATCAAAGTCCATTTGTAGCGATTCGATGCGATCTTCGATATCCGTTTTGCATCTCGCTAGTGTATCCAGATGGTCATAACATAGATCTTGGCGCATTTTATCATCATCTGGAAGAATAATTTTCTCACCGTGGCACGCGTACTTCTGCAGCAGTTCTGCGAGTTCCATGGTAGACGTTCTGAATACGTCTGTGAGGAAAGGCGAAATCCTCATTGTTGTTGTTGTGCTGCTCTTGAGCAAGCACATATCGGTCTTATTTGGCCGATGCACCAAATTTAACGGTGGTTCGTAGGCTCTATAGTGGCCTTAGGCGAAATAGCGCCTGGTAGAGTTGTGTTATATAGAACACATAGCTAATAAGCTTTATTGAGACAGGCGACAAAATGTTTCGGTGGTTCGTAGGCTCTATAGTGGCCTTAGGCGAAATAGCGCCTGGTAGAGTGTGTTATATAGAACACATAGCTAATAAGCTTTATTGAGACAGGCGACCTGCACACGTTGGTGCTGTGGTAGAATGCTAACGATAATAGGCGTGGCTACATAAGTTACTAGGCATCTGGGCAGTAAACAGACTTATATCACAGCGGGTCATGCTTATGGCATGACCTTTACGGTACTTACCCAGTGAGATACAGGCGAAGTGATATAGAATTAAGGAAGTGCCGACAATATCGGCACACTCCCGCCGGCAGAAGGAATAAGGAGCGGAATGTTGTAAATAACAGCAAAATAGCAAATTTGAGCATGTAGCAACAGTTGTCTATTAAGCGGTGGCGTTTGTCTGGATCTCGTAGAGGTCGTTGCTCCACTGCGATGCGATTGAAGACGAGGCGCCGGCAAGCTGAGGGACTGTCATGAAGTGTAGAGGAAGACGAGTGTAAACTAGAATGGTGTATACTGCGTTTCTGTAGATTAGCATATACTTGTGAATACGTATGGAGAGATTCGCGACCACGCTTCTTGTCGTTCTTCACCTTGCATCGAAATTGCAAACTCTGGTAATGTCGCCTTTCACTGACATCGCCTGTGTCTGCCTGTGGCATTCCTGATGTAATGACCTGTGCTAGGGTCATCCTCCAGTCTGCGGTAGCTTGTAAATTGCCATCACTGTTTTCAGCCTTGTAGTTTTTGGCGCCGTTTTCACTGTCGCTTCCACTATTGTCATCTTGCATCGCATCACTGATATATTCCTCTTTTGGAATATCGCTGTTATGGCTCACCTCTGATAGTGAATCATTGTTTTGATCATTAAGCGTAATATCAGCGCTCTGGCTTCCTGCGGCAAACGATCTTCTGCATGTTAACCTATTCAGCTCCGTCTCGCATAATGTTATACGGGCTTGCAGAAGATGAACGAACATGCAAGCGTCAGTAAGGGTTTTAAAAAATCTTATCTCTTTCTCGAGTTTGTCCCATTCCTCCGCCATCACCTTCTTCGCAGCTTCGTGATTAACTTCCTCGAGCCTTTCCATCAATATTTCGTAGTCCATTTCCAGCAGTTCGATGCTCTCTTTGACTTCCTCTGTGCATTTTGTAAGCATATCCAGATGTGAAGTGCACAGTTCTTGGCGCCCTTGGTCGTCTGGAAAATTTTTGTTCTCACCGTGGCACGCGTACTTCTGGAGTAATTCCGCGAGTTCCTTGATGGACGTTTTGATTACATCTTTGAGGAAAGGCGAGATCCTCATCGTTCCTCGAGTGCTGCTGTCAGAAGCGAAGCACTTTATCGGCCTTCGAATTTGGCCGATGCACCAAATGTATCGATGGTTCTAGGCTTTAGTGTAGCCTGAGGCGAAATAGCGCCTGGTTGAGTGTGTTATATAGAACACATTAGCTAATAAGCTTTATGAGTCAGACGACGTGCACGTGTTAGTGCAGTGGTAGAATGCTGTAGATAATAGGCGTGGTATAGTAACATAACAGTTATCACAGCAGGTCATGCTTATGGCATGACCCGTACGGTACTTCAGTGAGGATAAAGATACGGTTATTAAGAAGGTGCCGACAATGGCGGCACATCTTTATTACTGTACGATTACGGTAGGAAATTCGGCAAGGATTTTAGGCCATTGAAGGTCATATTCTGCCTCGGAACAAAACCAAACAAGTCAAAAGCTCTTATACTATGGTAATGGAAGTCGCTGATTTCGGATATGAAGTTCCCATTTTACAGTGAGGCTTCTTTCTAAGGTTCACCCAGGTAAACCGTAATAATTGAATCTCTAGCATATGTCAGAAATGTGATTACACCGTCAAGAAAAGCTGGAAACACTCGTAAGAAGTCTGTAGTGGAATCAGCGAGCGCGAAAACCGTAGTAAATGATTTTTCAGAATTTTTGAGGAAATTTTTGTAAGATGGCATATTTCACAATGGTTCCACATGCTAAAAGTTCATACCGTAATCCTACAGTAATGAAGGGAGATCGAAGCTTCGTCTCATACTGTAAATCTAAGTTGAACCTCTGTCTGCAAAATGGCGCCTCAAGCTTGGCGAAAGACGTGAAAGCAACGGAGTTATTAACGATCAAACAGTGTTCACATTTTTTTGGGACACCCTGTACATTCAAAACGTATGCTACCAATAGAGAAGGACAATAATGAACTCACCTAAAGCATTCCTCAGAAAAATGATCAGTGCATATATTACCAGTGCTCAACATGACAGATCCATCACGTAAACGAAGCATGTCCTGGAATTTGCCATTACCCATGCACGAATAAATCCACTGATTAACTCACTGAATATTTGAAGCCAAGCATGTTGCCCCACAAGCGTCTTCTATCTAGATCATCAGGAAAGTTCAAAAACATCTCCCGATCCTCAATCGTGCGATGACAAACAACGCACGATGAGCTTTGCCCTCGATCATACACCTAAAAAGCATTACTTGGAACTATCAAGCGTGAAGCAGCAACACTAACCGATGGAAGTGAGCTCTCGTCTGTTGGCTCACAAGCAAAAATTCTCAGCTTCCCGCCAGGGCCCTTTGTTACCCTCAGCATTTCACCGACTATACTGGACTTGGTAGCTCGTGACATCGAATCCATATTCACATCCGGTGGAATGCTACTATAGATGATCGTAGGCTCGGTTTCCGAAGGAGCGGTTCCTTCTAAAAGTAAATTTTGTTTGAAACATGGATCACGTCACATCAAAAGGCAGCTGGTAAGGCAAACACTACAAAGGTCAAAGTATACCATTGATCCAAAGAAAACGAAGCGAGGATCATCTACTAATACTACTATTACTACATTGCGTTTCATAGCTACAAAAACTCACGAACACTGCGATTCTCGATTGAGATGTTATTCGATTAGAACACGTGTAGAGCACTACCCACGGAAATACACTCTTCTATGCATCCGAAAACCCCAATTTTTGGGAGTTTCTTATAGTCATGAAACGCTGTATGCCACTCCTATGTCTCATTTCCTTTTTCATCACTTATTCACCGGTGAAGATTGGTGATCGGAAAGGAAGGGAGGCAAAAGGTAGCATGTCAAAATTATCTTGACCTTGCTAAATGCACTCCTATTCCTCTTACTGTGCCAACAAAGCATATGGGCCATACAAAGTGGTGGCTAGTATTAGTAGACATCATGTCAGGCTCTGATAAATAATCCAGCCTCTACAGTGCACCAGAGCCGCTTTCATGAGCTTATGGAGTTCCAAGCTTTCAACCGGGAGCCAATTACTCCTTGTACTCAAACAGTGAAGTTATTGTTCTGTGAGCTATGCCACTCATTCACATTTAGCAGCTCTCAACTAATACTCCCAAAACGAACTATAAGAAACTACATGAACCAAACAGCACATTTTAAAAAGGCATTCTATCCCGGCAACACGACTAATTCCAATCATTACAACTATCCATTTCTTCTTGAACAGAAGAACGTTGGTCAGCGATCCACATATTGTAAAACGAAGAATGAATGGAATGATGTCGAGCACAATTTACAAGCTTCAAACGTAAACCTGACCTGATGAAGCACATGTTGGCTCTCCGATATTGGTGAAGCTGGGAAGTACAACATCATCCCCTCTTGTCATGTTCTGACCAGAAATAAAGGTTCGATAAAGTGTACAAAGCAGACGAACACAGAAGTCGAGATCAAGCTCAGCCAGTCGATGCGACCTGCGCTTGGAGAGATGCCAGCTGGCTCGCTGCAAGCAATCGCTTCGAGACCAGCGCCGAGAGTTGAAAGCTTCTAGCAAATGTTGAATTGTTTCGAAGAGTTTATTTTCCGGTAATATCGGTATCTGGCCATCTTGAATCGTTTTTCAACAAAATGTTCACTTCTGTTTTCTAATTCACTGCTAAATTAAATGATTGCATGGCATTGAACGCTAGTAATGCCTTGAGTCTCCTGTTATACCCCCTAGTTTTAGATGGCTTCCATCCAGTGCCTTAACCCTAAGGCTGAACTTGCCCGTCATGCTGCAGCTTTGGAGCTGAACATAAGCGGTGCGAGAGGTCTTCAGGAGGTGATGCGCACAAATCTCGGACCAAAGGGTACTCTGAAGATGTATGTCATCAAATTGCTTTTACTCTATTTGTGATTAATGGCTATATTTAGGCTGGTGTCTGGCTCGGGAGATATCAAGCTTACCAAGGATGGTAATGTGCTGCTCCATGAAATGGTAAGTAGCTTTTCCTTCCATGTTTGGGGTAGTTCGGTTAGCACGATTACTGTTTCTTTTTGATCCGTTAAATTTGGCCAACTCGCTTTCTCAGAACCTGTAAACGATGAGCAACAGAGAATTCTTTTAAATATCTTATCAGCTACAAGAGAGAGAAAGGTAACATCACCATGTGCAATGGTTTGAACTGGATTCGGTTTCTGAGGTTGTAGATCAAACCCGCAATCCCGGGAATAGTCTGGGATTGCCTCGTCTATATGCGTTCATCTTTTTTGAAGAGCTGTGTGCGCAGTGACATAGATTTGGCACTAGCCTTTTCTGGAAGAGATGGTTAGAAACTAAAATTTGAACAATCAATGGCCGTATTCATCAGAACCCAGTGTGTTCCGTTACCCAGTCGTAGGCTTAACCCACGGATCGGTCACGAAGCTAGTTGGTTTGCCCATCTAGCAGTGCTTTTTGTGTATATCGGTCCAGCCCAGTGGCACTGTTTTCGCTTACCCACTGGGTTGACTAATACGACCATAGGTAACCAGATCTAATAGTCACTCAGCATTTGTCCAGTAGTGGTGGTTTGTTCCCATACTAACAATATCCAAATGCTGTAAATCAATATCGTATGACCTCTTCGCATCTCTTTCTTGTGGTCGACAAGACACTGGGGAGGGCAAATTCCACTTGTTTCTTGCTTATGCACCTTGAGCGGAAGAGGAGTCAGTGGTGAAGCTCAAATATTGGAAGTAGTGATGTTGGCAACGAAAATGTGGGAGCCTCGCGAACTTTGCTTCATGATTTGCATAGGTTGTTATTTAGAATTGCGAAGGTTATTGGTTCCCATCTGGACTGTATTGCTTAGTTTGTCTCCTTTGCTTTTCTTTCCACTTGGTCACAAATATGACAGCCCGGACCATTTGAAAGTGTGTCAGTCCACTCACATCCTTCAATTTTGCAGGTCGAAGTATCAACATTGATACCTAATGAATGAAGTACTGCGATTTTTTTGGTGGGATAAGCGTGGCATATCCACATATTGCAGGTCTTACTGTACGAGGGTCTAGATCTTTCTCACCTTATATATACACAAGAACTATCCGTTTTGTTCTAGTCCATCCAGCATCCTACGGCTTCCATGATCGCCAAAGCTTCAACGGCGCAAGATGACGTGACTGGAGATGGAACTACTTCTACGGTTCTTCTCATTGGAGAATTACTTAAGCAGGCAGAAACATACGTTTTGGAGGTATTCTTTAGCATTAGCGGTACTGCGCTACACCAAATCAAGATTTGTGCAGGGTGTTCACCCTCGCCTCATCACCGAAGGGTTTGAATGGGCTAACTCTCGCACTCTGGAACTGCTGGAGAAGTTCAAACAAGAGGTTTGCTGTTGAAGATCTTTACTCTGAGTCTGACAACATTATTCAGGTTACCATCGATCGCAGTACCTTGATCGAGGTTGCCCGTACATCACTGCGTACTAAACTCCATCATAAACTTGCAGATCATATTACAGAGTCAGTGATAATGGATATCGATTTAGGTGAATAAGTATTGTTATGAGCACAGATGTGTTGTCGATGCCGTGCTTGCAATTCGTCAAGGCGACCAAGAGCCTGATCTCCACATGATTGAGAAAATGGAAATGCATCATGAGAGTGACATGGATACGACTCTGATACGGTAAACTTGCTTAGAGCTATCTTTCATTGTCCTTTGATGTCTTTTGTCTTTCTGAATCTCCGTTGTCTTAAATTTTTCGCTGCACTAGTCATTCGTACATTTGATTATTTTGGTCAGACTTTACCATTCGATTTATGATTCAGTGGTTTGGTTCTCGATCACGGAGCCCGCCATCCTGACATGCCGAAGCATGTAGAAAATGCCTATGTGCTGACTTGCAATGTGTCGTTGGAGTACGAGAAAACGTAGGAAGTTTGTCTATTAACTACCATTCTCGTTAAAATGATTACATTCAGCGAGGTCAATTCCGGACTCTTTTACAAAACTGCTGCTGAGCGTGAAAAGCTACTAGCTGCGGAGAGGGAGTTTATAACGAGACGAGTACTAAAGATAATCGATCTTAAGAAGAAGGTTTGCAAGGACGGCGACAATAAGGGCTTTGTTGTCATCAATCAAAAGGTATGTTCATTGTTTGTTGGTTATTATTATGCGTTATCATGTGTCATGTTTGCTGGTCATCATGGCTCTTTGGTGCTATCATTGTTGGTAATTCCAGGGAATTGATCCTCCTTCTCTCGATCTGTTGGCGGCAGAAGGAATCCTTGCTCTTCGACGCGCCAAACGACGTAACATGGAAAGGCTGCAGTTGGCGTGTGGCGGAGAGGCAGTCAATTCTGTTGATGATCTCACTCCTGAAGTTCTGGGATACGCTGGACTGATCTATGAGCACACACTGGTAGGCGCTTTCAACTTGTGATCTATAATCAGTTAGTAAAGTAACTGGTTTAGGGCGAGGACAAGTACACATTTGTTGAAAACTGTCGTGATCCGAAGTCTGTCACGCTTTTGATCAAGGGACCCAACAAGCACACCATCCAACAAATAAAAGATGCATTGCATGATGGAATGAGAGCCGTATTCAATACGATCATAGACAGTATGTTTTGAGTAATTTTTTATTCAAACGCGATGCGACCTTATGAATCCTAGGATCCAAATAGTATTGCCTCTTTGTTCAGTTGTCTGACAATCTTGTGTAGGACAGCTACTGTAATTTCAAGCACTCAGATAATTATAATCACTTCAGAAAGTCTTGTTCCTGGAGCTGGAGCTTTTGAGGTTGCAGCTTACTGCATGCTTAAGAAAGAGATGGAATCTTTGAAAGGGCGAGTCAAGCTCGGGGCTCTGGTAGGTGGAGCAAGAAGTTCCATATATCATTCGAGGCTTGGTAATCTACATGAAGGTTTCAGGCCTACGCTAATGCTTTACTAGTCATTCCAAAAACGCTTGCTATGAACTCTGGCTATGATGCTCAGGAAACTATTGTGAAGTTGGTGGAAGAGCGTGAGGCTAATCCTGAAATCCCTGTGGGAATCGATCTCGATAGTGGTGAAGCTGCTCAGCCTGTGGTGAGTTTGACCCTTATGACAAAAAGTTTTTGGTGAACCTTTTATAAGCGGTTCATTACAGTTTCCTAAGAATCCGTCGCTATTTAGGTCTGCTACTGAATTAGTCAGTTTTAACTTGGTTTCACATCTGATTTTGTCAACCTGTCCCCATTTAGTAATTATCGTCTGTTGATTCTCGGAATGTATGTGGATAATCGCGTTTTAGGGAATCTGGGATAACGTTATCGTGAAGAAGAACAGTTTGGCTTCATCTGCTGTGATTGCTTGCAATCTCCTCCTCGTCGATGAAGTTATGCGCGCTGGCATGACTAATTTGAAGACAAATCAGCAAGAGTGAGCATTCAAAAACTGAGATCACACCTGTTCTTGTCCTTCTGGTTTCGATTATTTTTGATTGTTGTAGACAATTCGACGCTATGTTAATAAGGTCTATGTATGATTTGAACGTTAATGGGAACATTTAATTCCCTCACTCAGTTTTAATTTTTCCAAATCTCAGTCTTTGTTGAATTTTGTTTTGTTGTTTGTGTTCGCTGCCAATAAATCTTCTGCTTGTCTTTGTACGTGTTTCTCAACTTGGGTGCTGTCCAGATGGTTTATCGATTGATTGATATGCGACACAGCTCTGAATGCAACACTGACTGACATGTAGCTTACATATTCAGTCAAAATGGCAGAACCACCATCACTGGAAGATATCCTAGCGAGGAAGAAGAAGGCGGAAGAGGAGGAGGAGAAGGTACGCTCTGTCGAATTAGTATAGTTTTGGTTTAGTCTGAAGTTTCCCTACCATATTAGGTGTTGTATGTGCTACCAATCGGTTTACTCAAGAACAAGCTCTACGGGCGTTTTTTTTTTTGCGTAGATCCAGATAGTCACTCGCGCTATTGAATTCTTAATACACTGAGCTTTGTTTCAACTCATGACTGTTTTATTAACGGCGGTTCTTTGTTATCCCGAAGGACTGTTGCCAGTTTTCGCGTATGTCTTGGCTGAGATGGTTTGGTGAACACCGCTGCAGTGAAAATGATTTTGGTGATTATATAGTCACGGCTGTTTTGTCGTTCACAATGTTTTTGAACATTTATGATCGGCTGCAGAGTAACAATGGATTCCTCCAAATAGCTAACAAACTTGTCAATGGAGGTAAGAAAATTAGTAACTGCCGTTATGAAAGAGCGTGGTACCGAGCGCTGGGCAATGTGTCTTGATAGTGATGGTAAAAAAATATCAATTCTTGAGGGTTTTCTATTATAGCCCGCCTCAAATAATAGATTCTGCTTTAGCCAAGGTTTCTGACTAGAGAAGAGCGAGCAGCTCTAGCTCTTCAGCGACGTGCGGAACAAGTGGAAAAGATGAGAGAAAATCAAAGAAGAATAGAGGAAGCTCGTAAACAGTTTGAAGCAGAAGCTAAGAAAACAGGTAAGTTGTAAGTTTGCTCTGGAAAAATTCAAACTTCTCAACACAGATCGCGAACGCGAAAGAGATCGAGATCACGACAGAAACCGCGATAGAAGTAGAGATCGACGAGATCGCAGCCGATCCAGGGATCGGAAGGATCGTGATAAACGTGACAGAAGTCGAAGCAGGGAGAAGGACAGAGATCGTGACAGGAGAGGCAGAAGTAGAAGCAGGGACAGAGAGCGGAGGGACCGCAGCAGGAGTAAAGAGAGAAGAGATCGGGACAAGGAACCGCGAACATCTCGCTCAGACAAGGTAAATCGTTTTGGCATGCAAAACACATATATCAAAAATGTTTAGCCAGATGAAGACACTTTCGACCTCAATAAGTTGCAAGAAGCTGTGAAAGTACGCTATCTTGGAATGCAAAAAGAGAAGAAGAAAAGAGGCAGACGACTACATGAGCGAAAATTCGTTTTCGACTGGGACGCATCAGAGGATACATCTCAAGACTACAACAAATTGTATCAAAAACGACATGAAGTAATCTTTCTGCTTTCGTTTTCATTTCTAGGAACTAATAAAATTTATTCCAGGTACAATTCTTTGGACGTGGCGCCATAGCTGGTATCGACGTGAATGCCCAGAAGAAGAGCAATAATGTCTTTTACCAGCAGATAATGGAAAAAAGGCGTACGGAAGAAGAGAAACTTATGGAGAAAGCAAGGTACTAGCTCTTCCGTGAGATAGGTATTCTTGATTTAAATATGCAGGTTTTCTCTTTGAGTAACATTCTCTTTGTGCCGTAAATATATGTCTTTTAATACCTTAAATATCTCGAAAAATCGATCCCATTAACTCTTCGTTGATCTTCCTAGTCTGGAAATCCTGCATGAGAGTATTCTTGTAGGTTGGAAAAAGAAAAGATGAAAGAGCGGAAGTCTGCGCACGATGATAGACACTGGAAGATGAAACCTTTGAACGAAATGACAGAGCGTGACTGGCGCATTTTCCGCGAAGATTTCAACATTTCTATAAAGGTGAAGTCCGAACTAATTTCTTTTTTGCTATGTCTGCATTTCTGTATCTCAGGGTGGTCGAGTTCCCAAACCGATCAGATCCTGGGAAGAGTGTGGCCTTCCCGATGAGGTTTACCAAGCCATACAGAAGGTGAGATTTAGTCGCTGTCTACTTTTGCCTGCAACGAAAATCTTTCAGATTGGTTATATAGAGCCAACTCCTATCCAACGGCAGGCCATCACCATTGGACTACAGAACCGCGATGTTATTGGTGTCGCTGAAACAGGTTCCGGTAAAACGGCCGCCTTCTTGATTCCGCTGCTGGTTCGTTTCTCAGATCTTGGGTTCAGAGTTCCTTATTGTGCGATTACAATTTACCCCATTTATCCTTCATATGGTTTTAACCAAGCTCCTTTTCTATGTTGTCTCCTGAATATATTATTATTTTCATATGGCACGCCACTTGCTGTCTATCTTGCGTGACGAGTTTTCTGCTTTTTTCGACCTACATCATTACGTAGGCAAAAATGAAAGTTATTTATCTTTCTGGCTAGTTTCCTCACTGAGTGAGAGGTAACTTCACCTAACAGTGAATCACGCTATCTTTCCGCATAGAAAGAAGAGACGTCATCTTTTTCGCCTGTACCTTATGAACTGCTAACCGTTACTTTTTCGCGTCCTTTCCGAATAACTGACAGCCTTTTGGTAGTCAAATATAGGTGTTTTCTCTGAATTTCATGTATCTCATCATGTTGCCGCTATACTTGGGTATTAAAGGTGTGGATCACTGGCTTACCGAAGCTAGATCGGCAAGAACATTATGATCAAGGTCCTTACGCCGTCATCTTGGCTCCAACCAGAGAGTTGGCGCAGCAGGTTAGTATGCTCGACCATAAAGTGGAGCCATTCCCATTATTTTTGGTCACTTTCAGATTGAAGAAGAAACGAACAAGTTTGGAGAATTGTTGAAGATTCGAACTGTTTCTGTTATCGGAGGTGCTTCGCGTGAAGACCAGGGAATGAAACTGCGCATGGGCGTCGAGGTACAGTTATAGTTTTGAGCGTTATCACTTACTTTGAGTATTAACTTTTCAGGTTGTGATTGCTACACCTGGGCGTCTTCTCGACGTGCTGGAAAATAGATATCTTTTGCTAAACCAGTGCTCATACGTAATTCTTGATGAGGCGGACCGAATGCTTGACATGGGTTTTGAACCCGAAGTACAAAAGGTTTGTAGAGTTGCTGTCATTAGTATTCTCTATTATTTATCCAGCGCAAAGTACTGGTAAATTTCAGGTCTTGGGATATTTGCCTGTATCTAATCAAAAGCCTGACACCGATGACATAGAGCATGAAGAAGCTCTGATGAATAACTTTGCGACAAGGGAAAAATATCGCCAGGTTATCCTATCTTCCTCGTTATTTTGTCTCTGAAATTTGCAATGTCAGTCGTAACTGACACTCGTTGTGGAAGCTCTACTTTGAGCAAAAACACATATCAGTTTTGTTTTTCAGCCACTAAGAGTTTTAGTGAGGCAGTGGGTGCATGGTCTTGAATTAGGTAGCCCGACCCATTAGAAAGGATTCTTTGATCATGAAAAAAATTTCTTCTCACTTCAAGCGCTACTGTCAGCACCCCTTCTATAGGAAAGATTTGAAACCAAGAAATGGTTTTAGACTGTCATGTTCACTGCCACGATGTCACCTGCTATTGAGCGATTGGCTCGTGCTTATTTACGGCGTCCTGCAGTGGTTCACATCGGATCCGCTGGACGACCAACTGAAAGGGTGGAACAGGTAAGATTTGATTATTCTTATTGTTTATTTTTGGTATGCGAGCGTTTGCAAATATTTGCGATAGATTAGCTAAGTACTGTATTTCTGTTTAAGATTGTTTACATGATAACAGAGGACAGAAAGAAGAAGAAGCTGGTTGAAGTGTTGGAACAACACTTTGAGCCTCCAATTATTATTTTTGTCAATCAAAAGAAGGTAGAATAGCAATCTTGTTATAAATTATGTGATCTCTCAATGCCTATATTTGTAGGGTGCTGACCTGCTCGCAAAGGGCTTGAGCAAGTTGAATTTCAACCCTGTCGTACTTCATGGTGGCAAAGGTCAAGAAACGAGAGAGTACGCTCTGCAAGCCCTCAAAGACAAGACAAAGGACATTCTTGTTGCAACAGATGTTGCTGGCAGAGGTACCCTTCTTATGACTTGATTCGCTCTGATAAGCCCACGGATGTCTAATCGTGGCATTTTTGTTAAACCAACTATATGATAGGATGGCATTATGCAGTGCAGCTCTAGAAAGACTTTTTTGGCTGACTTGCACACTCGAATGTAGGCTTAGAAAATTCATGTAGTCGCAGTCTCACAACTTTGTTTATCGTAAAGGTGTATCACACATGAGTGAGTCACATTATATGTATCATTACTGCTGTTTTTCTTACCTCTATGAGGATGGTGTACTACTGTGCCACCATAAACGAGAGAAATTCTTCTTATGTAGATCTCATGAGTATACTGCTTTAATTGCTGTTTCCTCTGCAACTCTTCACATCACAGCAGTAGGCGTTAGTCATGGTGCATATATCAGCAAAATGTGCCAACATGGAAAATATTCGGAGATTTTTTTGAATGAGGGATTTGTCGGTGATTATCGCTAGCTATCCGGTAATTTGAAAGAGAAAACCTTTCTACCACGACCACTCAGCCTCATCATCGAGATCGTAACATGATTTCATTCTCCTGGTCGATTACATATCCATATGCTGTTAGCCCCTTTTTCCAAAGTTGTAGTTGACGTGTTGGCTATAACTGAGTGATGCAAAAATCTGTTCTCTCTAGAAACCCTCGATAATTAACCATTAGCCATCAGCGAGAAGATTTATTGCTTACTTTGTGTCCAGGTATCGACATCAAAGATGTTTCGCTCGTGCTGAACTACGATATGGCTAAATCAATAGAGGACTATACTCATCGAATTGGTCGAACAGGTATTTTTTGCTTTGTTTTAGCCGTCTCATCTTCACTGTTGTCAGTCCAGAAACTTCCTCGTTTTCTTTTACCATTTGCTCTTTATGTGATTGCGAAACTGACTTTATCAGCATAATTTACTTTCGCCTTCATCTTATCATTCCTGATTTTCCTTACTGAACAAAGGCTCCTTTGTACTTATTTGTAAGCTCCCTATCACTTGTCCCAGGCATTGCTTATGCTTTTTGTGAGGGAAGGCGAAGGAGATTAGGAGCTCGAGGCGCTTTATCGAGCTGTAATCTGGCGAGTTTGCGGACTATGTTCAGAACACATATGTCACTAAGGCTTGAGCTGCTAATGTGCGCTTAAGGTGGTGTTTATTTAGGCAACTTGAGAGCGAAGACGTCATGGCTAGAAGCATATGCACGGAAGGTGTTAACTTTTGCGGTGGCACTAACGCCAATGATACACAATGATATCGAGACCGCTAACACCATCGCTGAAAATTCCAACATTTTGATCGCTGGCACTTGTGGCAAACGCAGCAATTCGGCTAATGTTCAAAACTTTGCAAAGTATTCAATTGCTGATATGGACCTATAGGCAGCGTCCAGGCAAGTCTGGGCCTATGGGGATTTTACGTGTAAAGTACTTTTGGGGCCCTAACTAAGCCACTGCCCAACCGGCAGCTCAGGTAGTGCCCTAACGCCTGAGATAGTCCTTTCGAAACTGGACCCCGCGACCGTGTTTCGCATGGATTCATGGCGCAAAGCGTGGATCCTGGGCGAAACTGTCATCAAATACGTTCGCGGGGGCCAGTTTCGAGGGGAATATCTCAGCCATTAGAGCACTATCTAAGCTGACGCTTGGGCAGTGCCTTATCGTTAGTTAGGGCCCCAAAAGTACTTTCCACGTAAAAGCTCCATAGGTCCAGATCTGCCTGGACGCTGCCTTTGATGAGTTGGACTTACAATTTTCTTTTGATACGGCGGAATGAGGACATCTGATTGCCCGGGATTAGAGCAGAATAAACTAAGTTATGCCGGCCTTGCATTGATAGCCTCAGTCGCCATGTGTGAAAGTTGCATTGGCAACGTCTGCGCAAAAAATAAGGCAAACCTGACGAGGGGACATAACTATTGATCTTAGCTGGAGTGCCAGCAGCTTTTCTTCTTCCATGTACTGTTACCCATTATACCAGTAGAGGTCTCTTGTTATGAGGCTACTTAAAGTGTTGTAAAGGACGTCACCAACTGCAAAGGTTATAGGTTTAAACGGCGGCTGCGATTAGCAATACTCCTGAAAATCATTTGTTTACTCATCGCCTACATGTATTTACTTTTGCCGAACTGGAGTAATTGAGTATGTCATACTCGAGTGTGCTTGCTTAGAAAGAAATGGCGCAAAGTTGTAGTCGTGAGGAACTTTGACTATCGCTTCATATACAAATATGGTGGCTGTATGTTCAACGATCTTGAAATATGGAATGAGACTCCATTTGTTGACATAGTGTTTATCCGAAGTGGTATTATTATTTTGACTTCTATCCTTCTCGAGCCTAGCAGTGCTGTATTCTAGGGTGCTAATGCGGAGAAGTCCTGCTCTTAGCTGAGCGAATGCTAAAATGCTCCAGCAATTGAATTTCATAATCTCTTAATGCAAAAAAGCGAGAATAAATCTTGTAAATGCGCCGGCTGAATGGAAAATGTGACGTCTATAGTTTTTTCTTCCTCGCAGCTCTCTTCTGTTCCTAGCGTCATGCCTTGATTGAGTTTCTGGGAATCTCGTACTCGTCTAGTCACCTTTAAAAGCTATCTCCAGATAAGTCTGAATGCCCGAGCCTGACCGATGGTATGCTTTAGCCATATCATTACCCAAACGGCAGCTTATATGATTCATTGGTGGCTAGGAAATTCAACTTTGAACTTTCACCCGGTGTCGTATTCTCCTATGCAATGCGATATTTGACAAGCGATTTGAGTTAAACAGATGTCTCGCTCACAATGAATTTGTTTTCTACTTGCTTAAGCCATGACTTTTTTGAGGCCATACTGGTTTCCACACAAAAATCAAGTAACCTAATTTACGGTGATTATATTTAGTAAGAAGGATACTACACTGTGGCACTTCGTTTTCAGTGCGAGTAACTGCTGACTGCATTATTTTCGAATTTGATTTGCTATGAATATTGTTGACTTGCAGCATCAGCCATTTTAATTGTATTCTCCTATGAACTGTTACTTCGTGACTACTCAGAAAAAAATCCGCCATTCACCGTCAGCAGTCATGCAGATGTCTGATGCTAGATTGAATGGCTTGTAGTGCAGCTCGAAAGAGTTTTAGGGCTTTAGATAAGTAATTTTAAGAATTTTCCAGCTGTTTTGAGTTTTAGTCTCTTGAATGATTGTCCAGAAAGTCCGCTGCCTCAAAAAAAATTTTTATTTTGAGTTTGCGTTTCCATTGGTTGGTGCCATACGGTTATGACATCCGGGATGAAATCCACACATTGTGCTTGCGGAAAGGAAGGGGGTGGCATGGGATTTCAGATCATCCTTGGTAGTGAAGAGCTAATCTTCACTCAGCATGATCGCTTATCTTTGTTGCATTAGCTAAGCCATCAAAGCTGTAGATGTCCAATCACTGTAGGGAAGTGGCATTGGCGTTAGAAAATATTCTTGCGGAGGGAAAAAAAGGAGGGATAAAGTATCTCTTCAAACGGAAGGCCGTTTGAAGAGATACTAGGCCCTACGAAGAAATTTTAGGTGAGCTTTTCAGTTATCGCAAGCTCCCACTCTTGTGCCTTTGGATTTTTCCTTCACCGTCAGCGTTTGAATTTCTGCAATTTACGGTTTTTATGTGAAAATTTGACTTGCATGATTACATAACCATACATCTTTCAAAACTTTAAATCCTCTGCCCCTCGATTTGCCACTGGCAAGTGCCGTCGAGGTGGATGTTCGACTGGCATGTTCGTTCTCTGGAGCGCAAATGGGAGTCAGGAAAAAAAGTTTGTCTCATTAGTACCATATAGGATTTCCAGGATACGGAGGCGCTATGAGCGTAACACAATATTCAAAGAAGTCTATTGTGCTTAACGCAGTGGAATTTGCGATAATCTATCCAGTATTTCCTAGTTGTGGCATCTTTCTGACCGGTTAGAAGGCAGTGTACCGGCTAAATTTCATTTTGTAGTTTTCCACTTTTTCGCAGCCTTCTCGCCATGAGAAACCCATATCTGGGCTTTTCAGCGCATGATAATGGCGAAAATGAGCTTTTCTCAAAGCTTTCCAGGCCATTTAGTGGAAATTACGTGTAAGTGGGCGGGGTCCGAAACGAGGGAGGAGGGGCGCGGAGGACATCCTGCATATACTGAATGCGGACTGAAAAGCCCATGTTCATGCGCTGTAAAGTCCAGATATGGTTTCTCATGGCGAGAAGGCTCTTACAAGGGAAGTCACTTAACTTAGGTCGGGCTTTTGAAATGAGACACATATATTTAGAATCAGCTCGGAACGCTGATTCCAAATATGCTATCCCTAGCTGCGAAGCGTTTCTCTGGAGCGAGCTATGAGCTTTTTTATTATGTGTCGTTGACATACAGCTGAACATGGAAAGAAGGTTTTTGGATGAAAATCTGCCCAAAAAGTGATGGAAAATCAAAATAACATCAAATTGTCATTTGGCTTTGATAGGGTATAATATGCATTCGATCCACAACCTATGATGATACCGTAGCATGCCTAAGTCGGTCAACACGCAAAATTTGCTCAGGAAAAAGCTCATAACTCGCTTCAGAGAAACGCTTCGCAGCTAAGGAAAGCAGATTTGAAATCAGCGTTTCAAGCTGATTCCAACCATATGTGTCTCATTTCAAAAGCGCGACCTGAGTTAAGTGACTTCCCTTGTTAGTAGAAAAAAGCATCTGTGTTCTCATGTGAGCTCTTTTCTAGTCAATGCCAAGATACTTGACAAACAACGGTCCTTGAAAGCCAAATGTTCTTTCTCTAATGCCGTTCTTTCTCTAATGCAAGTAGAGCATGACGAATGGTTGAACAGAGCGCAGAGTGATTCTCTGTCGGCGTCAAGGACCTAGGGCGAAGCGTTAGATCCACGTGCAATCGTGGCTGGTTTCCGCGTGAAAAGTTGTCGCTATTGGAATGCACTTGAATCTATTCAAGAATGAACATGCAGTGTGGAACTTGAACAAATATGGCCTCCATTTTCTCCCTGGTTTCGCAAAATGATCCATTTTCATCTCCAATATGCGACCCTACCGGCTTAACGTCGAAAAAAGTTGAATGGTTGTTCGTTCTGCATTTTCAACTGGGAAAATGTATTCGAAATGTGGGTGGGAAATACGCAAAGCGAAATGGCGAGACATATCAATAGGAGCTCTAATAGACGGGACATTTTCATCACATCAGTTTGACTAGTTTGACAGCGGCCGTGGAACGGTGGAGGGGGAGGGGGGATTGTCCTACCTTTATTATCGAGGGCGAAAGCGATAATTCTTTGGTTCAAAGTATTCCTTTGAGTGGTACGATTTTGCGAGAGGAGTTGCCCCCACTTGAAGATCTGTGGTCGTATTCATCAACGAAACCCGTGGGTTGCGGAACCCACTGTGTTAGTGCTTTTGATGAATATCGATTCTTCCCTGGAGTAGAATCTATATTCATCAAAAGCACTAAGCCAGTAGGTTCCGGAACCTACGGGTTTCGTTGATGAATACGGCCACTGAACATGCCATACCCTTTTGGAAAAAATTGAGGCAGGTTGTTGAGCATATCTAATACGTTGAACGAAATGAAGATAGTCGGAGCAACGGCATGTTGTAGGTGACTATATAGTTAAGAAAGAAGCGTAAAATGTAGATCAAAGATAGTTTGTATAAAGAATTGATAAGAAAGCGATTGTCTATATATATAACTAGCTGGCAAACCCGGCTCCGCCCGGCCCTGTCATTATTATATTCGTAATCAGCATGCTCGATTACCCCCCTGTGCCAACTCCCAGCCCCGTA